GTGATGATGGTCAACGGTGACTGAAATATGCTTGATTGAGGGTAAAACTATATGCCCTCTTACCTTCAGTCCCTATAAAAATTCACTAAAATAAAGTGTTTTTATCTCTTTGGGTGAACTTTTTTTTGTTTTTGTTTTTTTTAGGCCAAACTGTTTCTTAAGACTTAAGATTTTTTCACATCTAATCTTGCTGTATTAATTGCGGGTTTATGCTTTTCTTTTAAAGTCCTTTAAGGGGCAGACTGTGTCGCCTGAGCTCATGTTTCCTGACTCTTTTTAGGGAGTGATGAGGAACCAGAGAAGTAGAGTGGAGTGAGCCGTGCATGAGGAGGAGAAGGAGAGATCAGGTCAGAATGAGAACACACAACAAGGGATGAAGAGATTAGCATTAGCTTTGAAATGCACTAATAAACTACCGGACATGAAAAACGTATCGATTGGACAGTACCTCTGGTCAAGACATCGAAGAAATTCAACTTTTATTTCATTAAAATCTCATTAAGATTTAAAAAAAAATTTCAACCTGTGATTTGTTTCCTTTTTTTTAACCATATAATTGGTAACATATTGTTGCACAATTATTAGACTTATTTTTAGGCTAAATCTGACTGTATAAACTTCTACTACTAATTGGATGTGAGGTGTGTTTGTGTGGATCACTATCCTAAATTGAGGTGTGAAAAATTATCAGACAATTTGTCAGCTGTAGGTTTAAAGACGAGGGAAAAATGTGAAACCGCTTAGCATTTGCCAAAATATTAGTGTATTAGCATAAGGTTTGGTTACAAATAGTCACCAGTGTTGAGAAAAATCAAATGAGAACATAATGTCATATATCAGAACTTCAACCTGCCTGGACTGAACAGAAGTACAAGATATTCAGCACTTGGAGACATAGCCAGGGTAAGGATGACTGAAAACACCAAGATTAGTTTCAAGAAAGCCTGAAAATTGATGTTTTAATCATCAATTTAAAAGCAACAGAATCAAGTTGCTCATCTCTTGGTTCTGTCAAGAGAGAGGATGGGTTGGACCTGTAGCTCAAGCTGAAGCAGGTAAAAAAAAGCACAACCTTCCTAATAACTGTGCACACCGTCTAATGCACATGTGTCAAACTCAAGGAACAAGGGCCAAATCTGGCCCGCCGTAGCTTTTCATGTGGCCATCCAGACAGTACAGCGATAAGTTCCTCTGGTTTTTCACAGATCCTCAAAATTTGCACAAAATCAACAAATCCCCACCTTTTTTCTGATTTTACTGCAAATATTTCACAAAATTGGTTAAAAACAGACTTGAAGTGACTGCTGCCTCAGCCTTACTTGATGTCAAGTTGTAAAAAGTCACATGTAACATTATGCATTAGCTCAAATATATAAATTCCTAAATTAGCATTAGATCGTCCGAAGCCCCCTCCCCCACCAAAAACCAATCACAAACTCTTGGAGGAACAGCTATTCATTTATATTTTAACAGTTTAATGGCTACCGTGCGTTGTGAACGGAAAGCTAAGGTTAAAATGAAGTTTGAGACTCACCTGGATGAGTTTGTTACGAGCCAAACTCGTAACAAACACATCCAGGTGAGTTTGGCTTGTAAGAAAGAGTAATGTCCACTGGTAAGTGCGATGGTAGATCTGATACTGAGGATCTGTTTCTCTTCCAAAGGTCCTGGAATGATGTTGAACTGCTAACTTCATGACTTCTTTCAGCATCATGATGATCCGAAACACTTAGCAAAATGAACATAGAAATAGTTCAAAAGTCACCAAGTCAACATCTTTCCTGGTCATCTCAAGCCTCAGATGTGATTCTAAGAAAAAGCCTGTTAGATGATTTAAAAAGAAGATAGAATAAGAGAAGCTGTTGTTTTTAACAATAAACAGTTTTTGTTATTCAAAACAGTCATTCCAGCGTTACAAAGTTGCAAACCAACCAGAGGATTTAATTTAAGACACCTTACCTCATGTTGATGGGCTGAGATTGGCTGCTGGCAGCATCTCTGTTGTTGCTGCAGCTGTTGTGTCCTGGTATCACTGGTCATCAGTCATTTTTTCCAGTGACTAAGCATCATGCATCTCCCTCCTGGGCGGCTGTTTGTTTTATTGCAACTGTCACTGACCGACTCCGATGCTCTTTAGCGTTTAAAATCTGTGTACAGTTTATGCCACCAGAAAAAAACATGTATTTTTTTTGTAAGAAAAAAACAACAGCTTAAAAAATGTTGCTAAAATAAGAATGATCAAGCAAATAGATTTTAATGACACCAAGCTTCGACTAAAGGAAAACTGTGCAAGTTGCATGTTTAGTTTTCTTTTTGAAACTTCCCAGCTTTCTTTCTAAGTTAATGAGAATTTGGTTAAAACGTGAGGAACCAATAATTGAACCTCATAAGTTAAATTAAAACAATTTGCTGAATCTACAGTCTAAAATAATTGCCCAGCGTTTCAGCGGAGCAGTGAGTGACTGTCTAGAGAATTACACTAATAATGGTGAAAACGAATACAGAAAAATAAAGTTTGAAACAATCAACAATCAGCATTTGATAATGAATTTTGTTGGGAGTAAACCCTGGTAGTCATATATTTTTGTTTTCAGTTTGTTCTTCCATGTCTTATTTTGCTCTGGATCACATCGTAGTAAAAAAACTGGACACGTCAGAAAATATTTGCTCAAGAAATCATAAATTCTTATTTGGCTAACTCAGCCTTTAGAAAACTCTTATTTTTAAAAATGAGATCAGAACTTCTGGGTTATTTTTATTTATTTATTTTTTGTATTAAAGCCGCAGGCCTGTGGAGATGCTTGACTCTTTTCAAAACTGAGAGAAAAAAAAACTTACAGCTGCTACTGTCAAGAGTGAGTATATAGACATGCCAGGAATAAGAAGCACATTATTTTTAAATACAATTTTGGTTAAAAAAAAGAAAAGAAAAAGAAAAAGAAACTTTCTTTCTATGATTCTTTATCATAGAATCATGTCGATTCTATGATAAAGACCAGACAATTTCTACTTTAAATCTAGTTTCTTACATTATTTAAATCCCAAAACAATAGGAGTCATTACTATTTACCCTCTATTGAGTCAATTTGCCTTCAGTTCTACTGAATAAATTCATCCAGATCTGCTAAGTCTATATGGCTCTTACATAGACTATATACATATATATATATATATATATATTTTTTTTTTTTTTTTTCCGCCCGACATAAAAAATAAAATAATACCTGTGCTCGAAAAATTCTTTGTTTTTTAGGTTGAACAGAGAAAACATTTGTTTTGCTCATCAGGTTCCTTAATGAGGAAAAAATAAACATTTTATTATACCAGGGAAAATTGATGGAAATTCTTACATTTTATATTCAACTGAAATGAAAATAAAAAAACACATTGATTTGTGATCTAATAAAAAAAAATGTGAGCAACATATTTTCTTTCACAGCTGTTTTGTCAGTTCTGTACAGATATTTAATTAGAACCAGGGTCTCAAACGCTGCATAGTAGTTTGACTCTTTTCATCATGTACGATAAAAGCAAAAGTAAATGTCCAATTATGACGCATGCTCTACAAACGGCAACCTCCACAGTTATTAAACGTGTGTGTAAATAATCGTGGACACTCCGACCTCAAGATGACTCTCTTTGCTGCAGACTCTTCCAGCAGGTTCTGGAGATTTATTTTTTTTTTTTTTTTACCGTCCTCATCTTTGGTGGCAAGATAAACGTAGGTATGTAGTCAGATCCGTTTGTTATGAACGTCACACTTATTGGTCTACAGACTACAGATTTAGGTGACTACTTCCTTGTAACCATTCTGTCATTTCGAATCACTGGGCGACTTGGTGAGTCGGAGTCCGTGGAAACCGGACACCGACTCGCTCTGACACAGTCAGACCTAGAAACACCCAGAAAAGCCCTGGCTGAGATTTACACTTTCTAGAAATTTCCCATAGTTTAAATCTAAACTCGTTTCAGTGGTTGATTTGTGCCTTTCCACAATAAAGCCACGCAAAAAGGAACAAATTGTTCCTGTTGTTCAAAGTGTTGATGGACTTTCCCACTTCTTGTCATGTTGCAACCACAAATCTAAGAGTGCGGCCACACTCTTAGATTCATTCATGAATCTTTTATGAATCCTTTCAATCTCCCACGGCAACCATTCAGCTGTGCAAAACCCCTGGGTAGACCTGGCGCTGCCTTCGAGGCGTAGCTCCTCTTCAGAGCTGCGGTTTCCACGCTTTTGAGCTTCCATCTTTCAGAGCGGCCCTCCTCTCTGCTCCTTCAGACTAGCCAGCAGCGATTAGCACACTGAGCATCAGATGACTATTCCTCAGAGCAACGCTGGTAAAAACGTGGTTGAAGGGTTAATAGAGGAGTGATATTGTGAAGGCCAGGTTTTAGAAACAGTGTGAGTTTTCAAAGAGACGAGCCCGATTTTAAGGTGTTAAATTTCCTTTGCCATAAAAAGACATTAAGTGCCTGGGAAATGCATAATTGTACCCCAGTAAGAGGAAGGAAAATTCTATCGAGAGGAAATATTTTTATAAGGTTATGTACTTGTGCAGTAGATTAGCTTTAAAATATGCATAACTTTATAAAACTTGAAAATTGTTTGCCAATTCTGACTTTGTTGACCTGATTATTGACAGGATGCAGCCGGCTCTGGGTCAGCTGATGGGCGACCTCATCAGATAACAGCCTGGCCCCTGATGTTCATCCTCACTACTCAGAGACATTCATTTACCCAAGTTTGTTGAACTGTTCAAAGAAAATAACAAAAGTGGAAATGACCCAAAAACATTCACACTGGGACCCTATTGTGTTTTTGAGACTTGACAATTCATGCTTCCTTTAGCCTCCCTCGTCATCTGTACCACTGATGCGTTCGTCTCGACAGGTGCTCCTTTCTGAAATGATCGCTTAGGTATATTTAGATTTTGAAACCTGAGAGGTCAGGCCTCTGATTGGCTGCGTCAGCCACATGATAACCTGGGTAGAAAGTGCAGCTGTGTGCTGTCGCCCAGCGTTTCTCTGGAGGGAGGCTGGGAAGGCTTTGGCGGCTTTGGGAGACCAATAAACTTAAACATAACTGGTAAGCAAAGGAAAGGATAAATCTACAAAATCCCAGGTTTTTATACCACCTGCATGGCTTTCCTTCAGCTTGGATCATCTCCATATTCCCACTGGCCTTTGGAACCCCAAAGGAATTGACCATGGACTAAGAAGCAAGAACGCTTTCGTACATTTTGGAAGAATAACCTAACAAGCAAGAACTTGAGGAAGTGAAGGAACATTGGGCCAGAGGCAGCTTTGGATTTACCTCAAATCCCAGCAGCCTTCACCACTTTAACCTCTTTTAAAACCAAGCTGATGCCTCTTTTTCCTTTTTTCCTCTTCTACGCTGGTTTGGTTCACATGGTACCTTGTTTTGCAGATAAGATTTAAGTTAATTCTTGAGATCTGGCAATCAGACGCTAAAAAAGGTAGTTAATATGCCGCCCTATATTTAACCTGCAGCCTCAGAAGGCATTGCATCTCCATTTGCTAAACACAGTCAGCCAATCAGGCTCTGGCATTAGCTTACATGTCAAATAGCAGAAGCACCGTCGGGCAGCTGTCGCCGACCTTCAGCCAGGAGGCACCGTTCCCTCAGCTGTGTTGTGGCATGTCAAGGGGCAGCAGGGTGGGGGGGCTCTTTTCACATACTGGGGGGTCCAAAAACACGGAGTTAGCTTCTGAACCTTCCTGTCCTGATGCGTATGCACTGATAAACATTATTGTTGAGATGTTTCACACATTTTGTCATTTCATTTAGGTGTGTGGCTAATCACAGAGTTGGAATCAGACTGAGCCCCTTGTGAATGGCAAGTGAAGCTTCCTTACTATGGAAATACTGTAGAAATTTACTGCTAGCATTTTTCTTTTTTTCCTGTTTTCCCCCACAAACTAAGCTGAGAGAGGGATGTTTGAGAGCTTTGCATGAATAATTTTTTTGTAGTTATTTTTCTTAATGTCAATGGGGGACATGCAGAGTGTTGTATGCTCCAGAACAACGGGCTGATTCTGTTAAAACCTTAAATGCCTGAACGTGTCGTCTCTGTTCTGTTCAGAGCTTTTAAAACTTGCCAACATGGCGGACACTGGAGACGAATATGATGAGTTTGGAGATGAGGAAGATGAAGAAATCATGGGGGTGGTAAGTGGATGTCTTCTCAATTCTCAGCAAGAAAAAAAAATCAATCAATAAATAACAGACATGCAAGACTGATTTCTGTGTTGCCAATTCTTTTTCACCCTTTTACCTAATTAAAGCACAAGGATCATTTGCTGGATCTGTAGATTCAACCAAGACTTTTAGATTAGTTAGACTGTAATATGTAGAGACGTGTATCATGTGTCTATACCTGCTGCCATGCAGTTTCTTTTTTAAACAGGCATCAGTTTTGGAGCATTAAGAAGTAACTTAGTTCCTCATTAAATTGTGGATATTTTGGTTGCACCACATGAGCAACAACCAGCAACAGCCATAGATTTTAAATGCATGTATACTTATGTATTTGAATCTGTAAATAAGGAAAGGTACTTTTCTTTTTTTCACCCCCAAATTACTTGTTTAAGTGTGAATTAGTGTGCTTTCTCCAGCTTACGTGAATGAGGCATGCACCTACAAACAGTTCAGTGCATCCATCAGTGCATCATTTAGTGCTGTTTGTCGTCTCCGTGACAGTGGTTGATGGAAGAGTGAAAGCAGAAGGCTAACAATTAATCCTGAATTTCCAATGGAAACGGGGTTACAGTTAGCCTTGTATTCCACATTCACAGTACTGCTGGTATCTTATAGGGGAGCCCAAACGACCGCGCTAAAACTCATCTGAGTGTTCGTTCAGTCATGCGTTTGACTCCCATATAACATATCAACAAACGGATTTGCCATCTTTCACTGCAAAGATGCAAATCACTTGGGAGGTGGGACACATGGATGGGTGCAAAGTCAATACGCTCTGATTTCACTAGTACTTTCATCTAAACTGTGGAGAAAAGTTTCATTGTTTCGGCTGTTGTCTAATCTACAGAATGGGGAGAAACATAGTGCTATTTAGAAACTGCAGAGTAACGTTTTATTTTATTTGTATTTTTTCAAATAAATTGCCTGGGTTATCGTGAACTCTTTTTTTCTTTCTTTTTTTGGCATATTAAGTACCAATATTCAATTTATGTCTTAGTTTTCTCTGTCATTTGTTGTTTGTTTTTTAAATTCTATTTTCTTTACGACTTAAAAGTGTCATTAAATTGCTTTGACCTGGAAAAAAATATGGAGCGCAGAGATCTCTGAGTGGCATTTAGACGGATTTAGAAGTCGAAGAGACGGAGACGTAAAGGGACAGAGAGCGAGGGCAGGAAAACGAGCCGAGCTGTAAATCATGCTCCTGTACACGTCTTCATCATGTTAACGTTACTGTTGTGACAGATTGCTTAGCAGGGATGGACGCACTAAGTTCATCCATGCCTATGGTTCTCCCCTGTCTGATAGATTTGGACATTTAAGCCTCTTATAAAATGTTGATTAAAATGATTGAGATGTTATTTCTCTCAGCTCTGGTTGTCCGATCCAACTTGTGGTAAATTTGAGGGATTTCGCTGAAGATAAAATCATAAGCGCAGTCATAAAACAGGAAAATAAAACCTTGATCCGTAAGTTAAATCATATTAATTTGTGCTAAGTTTAGGGTTAAGAGGCTCCAAAAATGTGCTTCACATTCATAACACAATGTCTTTCTTGAACGTAGCCGGCGTCTGAGGAGGAAAGTTGTGTGAGGATTTTCTTTATTTCTAATATATTTTACAATTTGCCTAAATTCAGATGAAGAACATCATTTATACAGATGATTGTTTTAACAGGAAACACTCTGGAGTTTCTAGATAACTAAAATCATCATTTAAAAACAAAAAGAAAAAAAAAGATTCCCAGAGTTTCAAAGGCCTTGTTCCGCCTTCAGCTTAAGTTGTTTTATTGTTGCCATATTTACCATCGAAAGCAACAATTTGTTGCATCAAACCGACTTCGTGCAGCTAAGCTAACGTCATTGAAAACGAGTTATTCATTGTTTTAAAAGCACTCAAATGAACTGTGGTATGAGCTCACATGTAAATGTGTGGAAAAGTAAATACATTCATTGCCCTGTCATTTGGATCAAGCAGGCTGCCGCTGCTGTAGCAACTGGCCAACAAAGGCAACAAGGAGCGAAATAAATAGAAATAGAAATATTCTCCTGGGATGTTTCTAAATTTATTTCAGGGATCAAAGACTGGGAGCAGTGGAGCTTAAAAGGCACAGACAATATTAACGCATTTAATCGTCTGCTTAATAGAGGATTCGACTGCTGTCACAGTGACATCATAGTTTATTTGCAGCCTGGTGGCGGTGGGGGGCCGGGGGTGAGGGGGATCTTACTCGTCTGTAGCATTTCCAGGATGTATCTGCTATTCCCCTGCAGAAACATCCTCCAGGGCATTCACGAAAAACAAAAACAACCAAACAACAATAAAAAAAGCACGCATGGCAGTCGCTGTTTTAACACCAGAGCTGTGGGAAAAATCAACCTCAGTCCATACGAAGCGATCTGCTGTTTCTCCCATGATTTGTTTCGGTGAAGCTCCTTTGAATCCAAAAGTTTGTCCTTCATTTGTAATATGTTGAGCAGATTACAACAACAACAACGACGTACTCTGAGCAGCACACTCAGTCCTCTCAGGTAAAACACCTCCTCCTAAGGTGCAACAGCTCAAGCAGGGCAGGAGAAGCTTGTCTGCATGCCTGAATGGAAAAACAAGGTCAAATTTTGTCAAGCATGTGTTTCTCAAACCTTGCTGGGTTTGCTGCTAGTAAAAACGACATGTATCATTAGATGCTACTTTTATTTTTTTATTTATTTTATCGTTTATGGGTTTTGGTCACTTTTTAGATAAATGCAGAAAATGTGCACACACAGGACGCTCTTTAATTTGTCGGCATCTCCTGTAAAACCTCAGAAATCAATTCAGTGTTTAATGCTTTGGCACAACCACAAACATTAATTGCTTACAAATCCGGCCTTGAAATTTACTTCATTCATTCACTAGTGTTGTTTACTGTAGAAAATCAAACGTTGCCTCAGTTGCTCATAATCCCCACCGCTTCCTTTAAATTGATTTACACTGAAGCATTTCTCACGTAAATGTGACTTCTTTTTTTTTTTTCTTCTTTTTAATGTTGATCAGGAGGCATCCGGTTATGATTTCCTCTACAAAACAGGAAAGACAAACAAACAGCAATCGAATCAGACATTTGTGTCGATCTGTTTACGTCAGAAAATGGCTACTTACCTGATTTTGGCCTTTTCGTTTTAACGACTAACAATATGAGTAACCAGGCTTGGACTCACATCTCCACTTCCCAACAACATAGAGGGCGGCTTACGTCGTTTTGCTTCACACTACAGCCAGCAGAATAGGGAACTCCCACAGAACTAATGATGCTGTGCATTATGAGTACTTTACACTGAAATGCACTGCTGAGCCGCCGCAGGCAAAGATGGACGAAAAGAGCGAAAGGAAAAGATTCACAAATATGAAAAAAAAGATCTGATTTTTTTTTCCAAACTCATAGAAATGAATATTTTTAATCAAACTGTTATTCTTTTGTGATTACGACCTGCTTCTTGTCTCCATTTTAAGCCAAACTATTAACAGACAACACATAACGGACACTAGTAGAGAGTTTATTTTTGAGAATTACTGCGTTTTGGATAAATAAAGATGTCTCTATGGCCTCTCGTTGCTCATACTCACCGGCTAAAGAAATGTTTTGTGTTGTCTTAACATTCGTCACATCTTCAACCTGCATGATTCTCTTCCACATCCATTAAAGTAACGCGAACTGGCATCCAGGTTGAAATAGCTGATTCTAAAGAAAGTCTTTGTGAGAATTTTTCTTCTTTCAGTGAAGGTAAGTAAATAGGGAAATGGCTGAACTAACAAGCTGGGGCAGCTTGTTAGCTTGGAAGGATGCTGGCCTCACCATGCCCATCGGTTTATTTCCACCTTTTTGCTTCATTTGCTTTGAAAGAGCTCTTTCATTTCCTGGCAGCTCTGTTTGCGACCATAAACAAACCTGTGCCCACCTGCATGGTGAACAAATGGAAACATAAGTGTTTTCGCTCTTTCCGTATACAGTCTGGCTTGCCCACCAGGAAAGTCAGAAGGAAGGCCAAGGTCGATACTTCCAAGTTTATGACTCCATACCTGGCCCACAGCCAGAAGATGCTGGATCAATACAGCCACGTAAGGAGCTCATGACTTTCACCTACTTGTTTGTGATGTATTTGTATTGGTATTTTGTTTTTTTTTTGTTCTTCAAACTGGACAATTTCATCCTGTATCCTCGGCAGAATAAATACCGCCAAGCTTATGACCTGTCCAGAGGGGAGCCTCCCGCTTTCACCCCCGACACCCCTGAACTGATCCGTATCAGGAAGGCCCAGGAGCAGCTGAGCGAGGTATCGCAAAAAAACTGGATTGCTGTTGGAACAAAAAGATTGCTGTCTTGGATTTCTAAAAGAAAATGTAAATATTGCTGACAGGTGAAGTACCGCATGGAGGGAAACAAGGCTCGAACAACCAGCTTGTACGGCGGTGACGCCAGAGAGGTGGTCCACGTCAAGCACGTGTCAGATCTGATCAGCAAGGTGAGCAACCGCAACCTCATGTCGGCATTTTGAAACAGATTTGCAGGATATCAGATGTTGGTACTGACCACTGATAGTGTTGCTTTAGGTTCTGTACAGACAGAAGTGGGATGAGACGAAGGACAAGTACCTGCTACCTCCCGACGCTCCTGAGTTGGTTCTGGCTGTGAAGAACGCCGGTAACTATAGCAAGGTAAATTCAACCAGGAATTCAAGAGGAACAGTTTGTTTGTATGTTTATATATTTAGATTTGCTATTTCTGAAATGTAAAAAAATGACTTTTTGTTTCCAGAAATTGTACACAGAAGCCTGGGACGAGGAGAAGACCATGTACTACCCTTACAGCGACAGCCCTGAGTTGCGCAGGGTAGCTAAGGCTCAGGAGGTCCTCAGTGATGTAAGCCGAATTAAGTTGAATAATCAAACCTCAGGGAATAAATTAAGTACAAAAAAATACAAAAGCTGCACATCAAAAATAATTACAATATCAATTTGACGTCGTCTTACCCCAACGTTCCCAGCCATTGTCCGTGGGGAAGCGACTGAACCCCGACTTGTGTCTGATTGTTGAGGGATTGTGCGTCAGAATGATTGGGTGAATGTACACAGTGCTGTACAATAGGTTTCTGTTTTATATCTCTAACTTTAAGAAGTTAGAATGGAGCACAGCATGGATATAACATGATGTGAAATTTTACATGCAGATTCCTGACTAATATCAGTGGAAGTTTTTAATGTTTTAACATAAACATTTACAACATGAAATTTATTGTACCGAAATTCCTCAAACACAAAAATTTAAAATTTCATCAACATAGCATGTGTATTGTTCTTTTTTCTTTTGCTTAGTATTTATCTACAAATGAGAAGGATTACAAATACACATTTTTCTTCCACCACGACTCAAATTAATCATCATTCTGTATCATTTTCCTTTGTTTCCACAGACTTGCAAATTGAAAAACTCTGAACTTGAGTCATTCCTTTAAATGAAACCCCTCTTGATGAATTTCCTCCCACAGATCAAATATAAAAAGGGACACGATGAGCGCAAAGCCAAGTACACGTCCTTGCCTGATCCTCCAGAGGTGGAACTGGCCAAGAGAGTCGCCCATCAGCGCAGTGATGTAAGCAGAACTCCATCCAATCACGTTCTCTGATTAAGGAAATGATAATAAAGGCAGGAGTGTTGATTAATTAATCCCTTCCTTCATCTCATGTTTAGCTGTGCCTGTGCATGCATATACCAGACAGAAATATTATATTTACATTGTATGAATAACAAACGTAAAGAGACAGCATAAGGCTTTTTGTACAATATGCAATGACTGTTTTATTACCACGTACCATGAGTTCACACATTAAGAAAAGTTACATTTACCATTCTCGATGTGGGAAAAAAAATCTCTATTTGTGTCGACGTTGATATGTGTGAGATTAATTGATACCTGCTACCTAAATCAGCGCTAATTACTGGTGAAATTATTATTTTTCTTTCAATTTGGCATCATGCGCAAGACTTGCAAAACTTGATAAAATTGTCTGTAGTTATGTGCCGTTATGGAAACACGGTCCGCAGACATCCTCCAACCCCGAGCTGCTGCCAGGAATAACCGGCCACCTGCTCTGTAGCGTTACTGTCCTCACTGATCTGGACGGAACGGGCTAACAATAGCGTCAGACATTCTTCTGATTCCGCCTGTGTTTTTATTAAACGCATGAACGGGTCGTGACACCATTGTAGATCTATTATTGTTACTCTAGAGCAACAATCTCCATTAACTCTCATTCTTTGTCCCCTCCAACAGCTGAAATACAAGGAAGACTACAATAAAAACGTTAGGGGTCAGTGGTGTGAGACGCCTTACTTTGACATCGCCATCGCCAGGATGGCAATGGATAATCTCAGCGACGTGAGTGCTGTGATGAATATTATTATCCTGTGTGTGTGCTTTTGTTCCCCTGTATCTCATTGTTGTGTGACCTCATTTTCCAGAGAAAATACACTCAAGAGTTTGAGAATATCAAAGACCAAATCTACTTCATGCAAACAGACACACCTGTGTACGACGCATGCAAGAAGGCTCGCATTGCTGCTAGTGAGGTAAGCTCGGAGGAGGGCGTCCGGTTGATTTTCTGTCATTTTCGGAAGAGTTGACAGCGAGTTGAGCTCTCTGTCGGAGGGCCGCGTGAGTCAACCGAGTCCAGTCTGACACAGAAACTCTCACAAGCCGATTTGCTGCAGTTACAGCCTGGCAGAGGGCCGACACCGGAATTGTTTTCAGCTTTTGAGAGCTGAATAAGCAGCTCTCTGCATGTCGTCGCCTTCCTAAAATAACAGCCGGAGTTATTTTTTGCCAAAAGACTAATTAAAACAAAAAAAATGTGTTCACTGTTTTAGAAAGGTGGGGATAATTAAAATGTAATTAAAGGAATGGCCCCGGGTAAAAATATTGTAGCTTCACTATGACAGAATATTTACACAAATTTTAAAACCAGATTTAACTAGATTTTATTTCAAACAGAAAAGCAGCATTGATCTTTATTGTTAGTAACTAATAAAACACATTACTTAATCGTTACAGTCATGGTATCTCATAATTTTCTGTTATTTTTTAAATCTTGGACATTGACCTGATCAAAAAAAAAGGGAAAAAAAACCCAGTAGATTTCGTAGAACAGTATTAGATTGTTTGCTGTGCTGTTTTTAATGCAGTGTCTGGATATTCCAATCCAGACAGTAATATGATTTTATCTGATTAGTTATGCTATCTGCTCTGGTAGGGTTTGCAGTTGGCTGCTTGACAGCGACAGAGCTGTAGGTTTTAAGCAGTGATAATTGGCTCCATTTTGGTTTCCACTCTGTGACTGTGAACATGTTTTCAGGGAGCTGAACTCATCTTTCTTTTAAACGAGGTGAAAGTGTTTCGCTTCCAATCCAGACGGTCGGCAGTGCAGAGCAACATGTGGGGGAGGGCCTAGGGCTCTGTTCGATGCCGACCAGAGAAAACTCAAATCCCTCTGCCACTTCTCATTAGAACAACTTTACCCTGACAGAATGGAAAGGCGGATATTTTAAATGCTTTTTAAAACTTTTCTGTGCCTTAGCTACTTTCAGCAGGCGGCTGTTTTACTGGTCAACATTATCAGCAGCGTTGAGTGACCCTCATTAGCGTGTTGGTCTGTTTTATCTCACATGTGTCTGCTCCTACTTTTAGGTCCAATACAAGAAAGAGTTTGAAAAGACAAAAGCCCAGTGTGACTACAATACACTCCCCGCTACAGAGAACCCGCTCCTGAGACAGCTTAGATACGCTGGCACCATCCTTAGTGATGTGGGTCCTGTTTGGTTTTTTTATTTGTTTGTTGTAAATATAGACCAATGTTTGTTTTCTGTGGTGTTTAAAATGCAAACATGTCGCAAAATTACGACATTCGCTGTTATTTTCTCTTATTAGTTACCAAAACAACCAGCTTGTTTATTTTCTCACCAGTTTCTGAATCACATTAACTTATCATTTAATTATTTATGTTGCCATTTCATACATATATATTTAGTTTTTTTTGTTCAGTATTTAATGCTGCTTTTCTCTTCTTTTTCTTGTTTCTTTAACAGAAAGTATATAAGGCCAGCTATGAGAAATCCAGGGGTTTCAGCATCAACTACTGTGACACACCAAAGTTTCAGATGGACTCAGTGCTCAAAAAGTTCTCTGATGTAAGAACCTGGTGGTTTATGAAACGCACATTCCTCTTTTTCTCTTTCATACACAAATTTCACTACTCTTTAATATTTCAGATACATTACAAAGAGAAGTATGACCGGGAGGTAAAGGGACATTATATCGGCAGCTATGAAGACCTCTACATGCTTCACTGCCAGAAAGTTGAGGAATTTAAAAATGAGGTACGTGTGTGAAACTTTTTTTTTTGTTTCATTCAAAGCAACAATTTCTAATTGCATATTCCCCCCGCCCCCAGCAATTATATAAAGCGGAATATGAAGACATAAAAACGAGATGCTTCTTCCCTCAAACTGTTACTCCTGAGTATGAGGCTACGAAGAAGCTTCAGCAGTGCAGTGACGTAAGTAGTTTTCTCCCGTAGAGCAACATCCAAGCTCTCATTAACGTTCCTTCCCGTCTATATCTACGTTTTCTTCTTCGGTGGTTTCCAGAAAACTTACCGGCAACATCCCGACAAAGTGAAGTTTACACAAGTGGTGGATTCCCCAGTCCTCGTCCAAGCCAGCATCAACGCCAAGCAGCTAAGTGACGTATGTGACATTTGAAACCATTTCGGCTTAACTTGTATCAAAACAGAGACAGTTTCTAATGAGGCATTTGTACAACATAACATTTTCAGTAATTTTTTAAAATCCACATATATCATGAACCGTCATGATATATTTTCTCTTTTAAAAAACAGGTTAAAATTGATGAATAAAGGTTCAAATATTTCCGTACAACCCGATTAATATTTGGTTGAAAGTTCTTGTGGTTATTAACAAGCTTCTTCCCTTAATAACCAGATGTGTGACCCTATTTTGACTGGTTGGCTTCTAGCATCGCCCCCTCCATGAAGCGTAGTCCAAGTTTTAACCATCTAGTTATTGACTTGAAGTGAAGCTGCAGAATTTCCATCTTTTGATCTACCCACCAATAGAAACCCTCAGCTTGATGCCACAGCCACCATTATCTTTTTCATTCAAAGTGATTGTTTACTTCAGACATATTTCTTTAGATTGCAACCAAATATTTGCATCATTGTTTGATTCAGCCACAAAAGGTTCCCACACAGTGTTGTGATCTCTTCAAAAGCATCTCAATAAATTTGAATGTTATTTGAAAGTTCACCTATTTATGTCACTCAATGTACCAAGTGAAACACATTATTTAAATGACATTAATGTTTAGAATGCTACATTAGGTAAAGAAAAAAATTACAGAAATTTGGCTTTAATCAAAGGTATGTTTATTAGCTGTCCACAGGTTATTTTCAAAATGTAAAATTAATCTGAGCCTTATCGAGATGGATATTCTAATTGTCTGAGATGTACCTGCAAGGTAGTTTAAAAACATTTACTTACTGTTGAACTAATGACCAAATGATTTCAAGTCATCTGCTGGGGCCTCAGATCGAAGCGGATCGCCGTTAACTGTGTCCAATCATCCGTGTCGCCCAGATGTCTTTCTATGGCTTCCATGGAAACTGGAGAGCCACTTCTCTGCCGTATAAATAGAAACAAGCATTCACTTGGCCCAGAGTAAAATCTGCTATTGGATAGGGCCTTGGCAAGGAGGAAAAAGTCGGAGAAGCCATAGTCAGCGTACTGCTACCCCCTGCTGACAGGAAACCGTACCACACTTTGTCGAAGCAGAACAGAGGGTTTTAATTGAATGCTTTTTCTCTCGCAGTTGAACTACAAGGAAAAGTTTGAGAAAACAAAGTTCAAGTACAGCCTGCCCCCGGACTACCCGTTCTTCATCCAGTCCAGAGTTAACGCCTACAACCTGAGCGAAGTGAGTAAAATTCAAGTCGATCTCTAAAGTCAAATCACTTTTTAAACCGATTGAGTGTTTGGATTCATGTCGTTGCAGAGCTGCTACAAGTACGACTGGGAGAAAACCAAAGCAAAGAAGTTTGAAATCAAGGGTGACGCCATCCCAATCCTAGCTGCCCGGGCTCACACGAACATTGCCAGCGACGTAAGTGCCTGCCCTCATAAATGTCTGCTTTGTTGTTTTTGGTTATTTTTTTTTTCTTTAATTGGCATTTTATTGCCGACCTTCTGCTTTATCCCTGCAGGTTAAGTACAAAAAGGAGTACGAAAAGAACCGGGGACACATGGTTGGAGCCCTCAGCATTAATGACGACCCCAAGATCTTGCACTCCGTTCATGTTGCCAAAATCCAAAGCGACGTGAGTCGATAGGGTCAAATCAACAAAAATAGAGTTTATTATTGGTGAGGAATGGAAAACAAATACTCAAACCAAATCTCACTGATTTATCCGCAGCGGGAATATAAGAAGAACTATGAAAAAATCAAGACCAAGTACCATACACCACTTGATATGATATCAGTCACCCTGGCCAAGAAGTCTCAGACAATCGCCAGCATGTCGGGCTACAGGAAGATCAACCCCAACTACTTCCTGCCGTACGACAGCGTGCTGCTGGACCTGGCCAAGAAGGCCAACATCATCCAGAGTGATGTAAGCAGACAAGAGTTTGCAAGATGGTTCATATTTTGTTTATGTTCCAAAGTGAAGATATTTCTTTCTACTGACATCTTTATGATTATTTTTGATCAAAGAATGAGTATAAAGCTGAGTACAACAACTATGTCAGAGGAACCCCATGGATCCCATACGGCTCCTTGGATGTAGAAAAGGCAAAGAAAGCTGCTGAGATTCTCAACGAGGTACGTGTGAGAAGCATTGTTCCTGCTAAAACAATCAAATCTGATATCTTTAGATTTAATTAGATTTAGTTTCTTTATTCTACACCTCCTTTTCTCCTTTCAGAGAAAGTACAGACAGGCCCCAGACACGATTCCATTCACATCTATAGACGACCATCCCATAATGCTGCAGGCAAAAGTCAACCAGCTTCAGAGGAGTGATGTGAGTCCACCGCCCAGAAAACTCTGAAATATTTTGTCTCTTTTCAGTATATTTCTTTATGTTAATGTGTGATCCTATGGCCTTTTATCCACACAGCTGTTCTACAAGAGAGGTCTTGAGGAAATCCATCAAAAGTACTCTTTGCCTCCTGATGCTCCAGAGTTCCTCCAAGCCAAGTGTAATGCCTACAACATCAGCAAGGTGGCGCAATACATCCATCCATCTATACATGTCTATACTGGCTTGGCACAGTAGGGCTGCTGGGGGAGGTGAAGCCTTTCTCCAGCGGTCATTGTGTGAAGGCACACGGTGCCAGACGTTTCCAAAAGCTATACTCTCCTCCCACAGTCCAAAAACTTGTGGAAGGAAGCCGCAAAGAATTGACACATACTCAGCAGAGAACATGCAAACGCCATGCAGTGAGATTTAAACTCAAGACCTTTTTGCTGCAAGGCAACAGAGTCAAGAACTGCTCCACTATCCAGGCTGCATACAAAACTCTTGTACTTTAAAGGCTTTAAAATTAAAATTAAGTAACCAAATATTTAATTGTTAATCTTTTTCAGACTGAGCTGTAAACATTACCCATGGAATAAGTTTCAGAGTATATTGTAAAATCAATCACATTCCTTTGAGATATTGTCTGACATATATAAATCATATGGACAATTTTTCTATTTTCTTGTGCTAAATCTTTGTTATAGCTGTAGTAGTATCTTTTATTAACTTTTATTTAAAAAGTTTTACATATTTGTTAAAATTGTCATGACAGATAATCTATAAAAAAAATATAAAAAATTAAGCTAGTCACCCTCCTGCCTGTGGTCCTACTGCCATTTGCAGAAATACACAACTCCTGGTCAGAAACAACCAATCAGAGTCATGTGGAAGGTCTTAGCGCTGTCAATCAAGGTTATGTACGCTCATAGTGAGAGTTTTAACACATGTGAAAAATATACATATTTTTGTTGTCTATCATCTTATCTTGTTGTCTTTTAGTTCAGCTTCACCATCCAGAGCAGTGTTTGTCATAGTTTGGGTAGCCAGTAGAGTTAAAATACATGTATCCTAATACACAACTCAAAAAAAAAAACAATTATTTATTTGTGTAACAGTGTATAATTGCTTTTGTCATTATTACTTTGAATGTTATCATTTCAGAATTACTACAAGTATGACTGGGAAGCGCTGATCGCCAAAGGTTATGACCTGAAGCCCGATGCGATCCCGGTTGTTGCTGCTAAAGCAGCCAGACACGCTGTCAGCAACGTAAGTCTTCTAAAGTGGGATTTCATACACCCTTCACTTAATGGGCTGACTTTTTGTGCTACATCACACAACTTCCCACAATCCAGCTTATGCTTGTACACCCAGGTCCAGTACAAAAAGGCCTACGAGAAGGCCAGAGGCCACCATGTTGGCTTCCGCAGCCTCCAGGACGATCCGCTCCTGGTTCACTACATGCAAGTGGCAAAGATACAGAGTGACAAGCTTTACAAGCAGGACTACAACAAGGCCAAGCTGAAGTACCACACTCCAGTGGACATGCTGAGCCTGGTCCATGCTAAGCACGCCTCAGCCGTGCAGACATTTGCCGGCTACAAGCAGCACCACCACAATTACTTCCTTCTGCCTGATGCAATGAATCTTCAGCTCGCTCGCACCATGAACTATAACGTCAGTGATGTAAGTTCCAGTTGTTTCTTTTGGGAGTATTTGCAGTACAGCTTCTAATAAAATGGTACTCTTTACCACTCTGACAATTCTCTGCTTTGTCATATTTGGCAGAACTACTATAAAATGGATTATGAGACTTCGGTGAAAGGAATTGGCTGGGTTCCTATTGGTTCGCTGGATGTAGAGAAGGCAAAGGCGGCAGCAATGGCTTTAGATGAGAAAAAGTACAGGCAGCACCCTTCCACAATCAAATTCACCAGTGTTACAGACTCCATGAACATGGAGCTGGCCAAAGCAAATGCCAAGATCATGAATGTGGTGAGGAGCGGGAAATTGTAACTCTTTGTTTTACTATGTGACTCCTTTTGTTTTTGGAAGATGAGCGTAAACCAAACTTTTCATTCACGACAATGCAGAAAGATTATAAAGCCAGTGGAGAGAAGTTCATGCACACTTACCATCTCCCAGCTGATACCCCTGAACTGATGCAAGCCAGGTGCAATGCTGTTAACATCAGCCAGGTCAGTGTCACCACTTTTCAATCAGCACAACGCACAGAAATGAAAGTGTTGCTATGTCTGTAATGTTCTGAGTTGTGCTTTTGTGTAGAACTATTACACTTACGCACATCGTCAAGATATCCTCAAGGGACATCACGTGAAGGAAGATGCTATTCCCGTTTTAGCTGCCAAATCTTCAAGAGACATTGCCAGTAATGTAAGTTTCTCATTGTGCTCAAGTTTCACTGCTGAGGCGTTCAGTGTTAGGGAGATGTTACAAATAAACACTGTGCTTTTCTGCAGTACAAATATAAGCTGGCTTACGAGAAGGCCAGAGGCCACCATGTTGGCTTCCGCAGCCTCCAGGACGACCCTCTGCTGGTGCATTACATGCAAGTGGCAAAGATGCAGAGCGAGAAGAACTACAAGAAGGACTACCACAAGGCCAAGCTGAAGTACCACACCCCGGTGGACATGCTGAGCGTGGTCCAAGCCAAGCAGGCCTCTACCGTCCAGACCATGACTGGATACAGGAAAGTCCCACACAGCTTCCTCCTGCTGCCTGACAACATGCACCTGCAGCTGTGCCGCAACATGATGGAGATCCAGAGTGATGTATGTTTTCATCATACAGGGATTATAGCATTAAATGTCACATATTATTCTGCTATGTGCTATGTTTTTATTTCTTTTCTTATTGTTTTTTAATCCACAGAATGTCTATAAATCAGAATACAACAACTACTTCAGAGGTATCGGCTGGGTACCAATCGGTTCTTTGGATGTTGAGAAAGCCAAGGCAGCCAAAGCTGCACTGGATGACAGAGGTTACCGCCAGCATCCCAGCTCCTTCAAGCACACCAGCAAGACCGATGACATGAACATGTCTCTAGCTTTGGCCAACTCGAAGCAAATGGACAAAGTGGGAACCATTTGTTGATCATTCCAGTTCATGAACAAAATAATGTTTTTTTCTTTTGACAAAATATAGAATTTTTTCTCCATGTAGATTGCATACAAAGCATCTGGTGAAAAATTCATGCACACCTACCACCTGCCAGCTGACAGCCCAGAGTTCCTCCAGGCTAAATTCAACGCCCAAACCGTCAGCGAGGTTAGAGCAAAAGATTTTATTTAAGGGTTCCTACGTCCTGTTGAAAAGGGATTTGTTTTATTTTTTTTCCTAATTGGAAAATAAAAAAATAATTCATTCATCCATCCATTCATTATGGTAACTGTTGATTTCCACAGAGTCTCTACAAGCAACAATGGGTGCAAGATATTGCCAAGGGATACGACATGAAGCCTGATGCTATTCCCATCCTCCATGCCAAGCATGGCAGACATATTGCCAGCAATGTGCGTATTTTCTGTAGTAAGACATCATATGACAACAACAATCGGGTTCTATTAAAATGCATTCACAACACTTTGCATTCTTCATTTTTTTTAGGTCCAGTACAAGAAAGAGTACGAGAAGGCCAGAGGCCACCATGTTGGCTTCCGCAGCATCCAGGATGACCCCCTCCTGGTTCACTACATGGAGGTTGCTAGGATGCAGAGCGAGAAGAACTACAAGAAGGACTACCACAAGGCCAAGCTGAAGTACCACACCCCGGTGGACATGCTGAGTGTGGTCCAAGCCAAGCAGGCCTCTGCCGTCCAGACCATGACTGGATACAGAAAGATTCCTCACAGCCACCTGCTTCTGCCCGACAACATGCAATTGCAGCTGTGCAGACATATGAATGTCCTGTCCAGTGATGTTAGTATCGTTTTTTTCCCTTTTTTTGTGAGATGTACAATTTTAAATTTCACAACAGATGAGTGGTGTGAGTTGTTTTGCTGTTTTTAGGTTAATTACAAATCTGAATGGAACGAATTCATCAGAGGCATCGGATGGGTACCGATTGGGTCCCTTGGGGTTGAAACTGCTAAAGTTGGGGGTGAGATCCAGAGCGACAGGAAGTATAGGCAGCATCCGTCTAACTTTAAATTCAGCAAGCTGATGGACTCCATGGACTTGGCCCTGGCTACTGCCAACAATCAAATCATGAACAAGGTACAGCGTAGCTAAAATTTGTGCGGCAAAGTGTGAACGGTGAGCTTTTTCCACGATGTTTCATTTATTACTGTGTTTTTTACTTTTTTTTTAATCTTCAGAAAGCGTACACCTCTGCTTGGGATAAAGACAAATTGACCATCCACGTCATGCCAGATTCTCCTGAAATTGTCCTGGCCAAGGCAAACGCTCAGACAATGAGCAATGTAAGTCGTTCATTTACACAACAAATCATTATGTGCTAGAAGAGCGATTGCTTTTTGTGAACAACTTTATGTTAATGTCTTTTTCTCTAGAAACTGTACAAAGCCGGCGTTGTGGAGATGGCCAATAAGGGTTACAATCTCAAAGCTGATGCAATTCCAATTGTGGCTGCCAAGTCTGGTACCACTATTGCCAGCAATGTAAGATGGACACAAACCAGTGAACCAACTCAGAAATTTGGTTTTCTAGAAATGTTTATATGTTATGAACAAATCTCTATCCAATCTTACAGTACAAGTACAAGTTGGCCTACGAGAAGGCCAAAGGTCACCATGTTGGCTTCCGCAGCCTCCAGGACGATCCGCTCCTGGTTCACTACATGCAAGTGGCAAAGATACAGAGTGACAAGCTTTACAAGCAGGACTACAACAAGGCCAAGCTGAAGTACCACACTCCTGTGGACATGTGGAGTGTGGTTCAGGCCAAGCAGGCCTCTGCTGCTCAGACTTTGATCGGGTACAGACAGATCCAGCACACCAACGCTCTCCTTCCCGACGCCATGGGCCTGGAGCTCGCTCGCAACATGAACTTCAATTCAAGCGATGTGAGTTTTCAATCCAAACATGCTTACCCTATTTGGTTTTAAATGTGTTTATTGAAGAAAATAGCATAAGAAATAGGATTTAAGCCCCTGTTTCTTGACAAGTTGTGTCTGTTTGCAGTGGAACTACAAGGCTGAATGGAACAACTACTTTAGAGGTATCGGATGGGTCCCCATCGGTTCACTTTCAGTGGAAACGGCCAAAGTTGGCGGCGAGATCCTAAGCGAGAAGAAGTACAGACAGCATCCGTCCAACTTCAAGTTTAAGAAATTAATGGATTCCATGGACGTGGCTCTGGCTACGGCCAACAACCAGATCATGAATAAGGTGTCACTTCTTTTTTTTTTTACCTCTACTTTGACGTCCAAGCCAGAAAAAAAATATTTGTATCAAACTTTTCTCAATAACGATTATTTCTGAGTGTTTTTTATGTCTTTGTTTGCAGAAAGCATACACTGAAGCATGGGAAAAAGACAAACTGAAAATTCATGTCATGCCAGATTCTCCAGAAATTGTCCTGGCAAAGGCTAACGCCCTCAACATGAGCAATGTAGGGGAACTCACTATTTGACAATAACAACGCATTTTTTATGTATTTTACCTGAACACATTGTTTCTCTACACGTTGAATTGTATATTTACAGAAATTGTACAAAGCCGGAGTGGTGGAGATGGCAAATAAAGGCTACAACCTCAAACCTGATGCCATTGCCATATTGGCTGCCAAGTCTGGTACCACCATTGCCAGTAATGTAAGCTATCAAAATATTCCTCTATAACACCAAAATGCATATATGTATATACCTCTGTGGGAGCAGTGTGAATAAAAAAGTGTGTTTTCACCATCACAGTACAAGTACAAGTTGGCCTACGAGAAGGCCAAAGGTCACCATGTTGGCTTGCGCAACCTCCAGGACGATCCGCTCCTGGTTCACTACATGCAAGTGGCAAAGATACAGAGTGACAAGCTTTACAAGCAGGACTACAACAAGGCCAAGCTGAAGTACCACACTCCTGTGGACATGTGGAGTGTGGTTCAGGCCAAGCAGGCCTCTGCTGCTCAGACTTTGATCGGGTACAGACAGATCCAGCACACCAACGCTCTCCTTCCCGACGCCATGGGCCTGGAGCTCGCTCGCAACATGCAGTTTATTGCCAGTGATGTACGTAGAAAGTTATTCATAATCAGTTGTGTTTTATGTTCTGGTTGTAAAACTGATTCTTCTGTGTTTGTTTAACTCTAGAATGAGTACAAGAAGGAGTATGAGAGCTACTTTAAGGGAATAGGATGGGTTCCTATCGGGTCACTTGATGTTGAGAAAGCCAAAACAGCGGGGCAGGTTTTCAGTGAAAAGCAATACAGGAAGCATCCCAGCAACTTTAAATTCACTAAAGACATGCACTCTATGGACCTGGTTCTGGCCACTGCCAACAACCAAATCATAGATAAGGTATTTTGTAAAACTTTCCATAAATTCAACAATCTTACAAATTTCTATGACAGCAAATTCATTTTTCTAAAATGAATTTCTCCCCCCCGTTTTAGAAATCCTACACAAGCGCTTGGGATAAAGACAAAACTACCATCCATATCATGCCGGATGCAATGGATGTTGTTCTTGCCAGGGAGAACAAGAAAAACTACAGTGAGGTATGAACCTAATTTAATACACTTCTTATCCTATTTTTTGTTATAAGCAATGGATGCAATCTGACCAAAAATACAATTGTTCATTCTCGGTTTGCAGAAACTGTACAAACTGGACAACGAGCTGGCCAAGAAGAAGGGCTACAACCTTCGTGCTGATGCCATTGCGATCCAGGCTGCCAAAGCCTCCACTGTTATTGCAAGTGATGTAAGTGTTTGTGTTTTGATGTTTACGTCTTGTGTTGTTCCGCCACTAGAGTGTAGAAACTAAAACGAGAATCTCCATCTGTTCCCGACGCAGTACAAGTACAAGACTGGATACCGTAAGCAGGTCGGTCACCACATCGGTGCCCGCTGCATCCAGGACGACCCTCTGCTCATGCTGGCTCTGAACTCGGCCAAGATCGCCAGCGACGCTCTGTACAAGAAGGACTTCAACAAGTCCAAGACCAAGTTCAACCTGCCTGTGGACATGCTGGCCTTTGAGCTGGCCAAGAAGAACCAGATTCAGGTCAACCATGCCAATTATATCACACGTCTGCACAACTGGACTTGCCTGCCAGATGCAAACGATGTGGTCCAGGCCAGGCATGCATATGACATACAGAGCGATGTGAGTATGAATACTTAAATTTTCTTTTCTTTTTTTCTTTTGACACAACTGATGACACTGCACTGTAACATAACTTTTTTTTTTCCTTCACAGAATGTCTACAAGGAGGATTTGAGGATGTTGCAGGGTGTCGGCTGGGTGCCAATAGGTTCACTGGATGTTGAGAAGGCTAAAGTTGCTGCTCAGATCCTGAGTGAAAAGAAATATCGCCAGCACCCGAGCAACTTCAAATTCAAGTGCACTACTGAAGACATGCCAATGATGCTGGCTAAGGCTAATGCTCAGAACATTAACAAGGTATGAAGTAACATATTTTGCCTGCACTATTTTGAACCACCATAGGGGAGATGCATTTTAATGTGATCAGTGTAATGACTTCATCTCCCTCAGAAGACAATTTCTTCAACTTAAAATAATGCATGTGTCATCTGCGAAAAAGCAAATGTCTTGACGGATTATTTCAAGTCTCGTCAAATAAAAGAGTTTTTTATTTATTTATTTTACTTTTGCGTGAGCAACAACTGAATTGAGGTTAGCTCAGTTAGCCTGAGCTAAACTACAGTGCTATTCTGCAGCTTTTTAACCTAAGTATGAAGTCAGTTCTTTTTCGAAATGCAGCTTTTGTTCGTTTTCAATAAATCTAAAAACTTTACAGAAAGCTTATACTGAAGCCTGGGACAAAGACAAGACCACCAACCATGTCATGCCTGATGCCATGGACATTCTTCTGGCCAAAGCAAACAAAGTCATCTACAGCGAGGTGAATTTTCTTATATGCAATAAGAACATTATGCTCTATATTTTGAAGTACTTGCTTTTTATATTTAAAAAAAAAAAACCTAAAGATATCTTTGTTACTTTTTTATGCAGAAATCATACAAGCAGGCAAACGAAGAGGCAAAGAAGAAGGGCTATGACCTCCGAAATGATGCCATCTCCATTATTGCTGCAAAAGCCTCCAGGGATATTGCAAGCGATGTAAGATCATTTAATTATCATTCATTGCAACCTTGTTGATACCGGTTGGAACGACATTCCACAAGCCTCTCAATATTAGACTTTTTTTTTCCAATCTGCAATGTTTTGTTCTCCAATTGCAGTACAAGTACAAAACCGGATACCGTAAGCAGGTCGGTCACCACATCGGTGCCCGCAGCGTCCAGGACGACCCTCTGCTCAATGCTAGCTCTGACTCGGCCCAAGATCGCCAGCGACGCTCTGTACAAGAAGGACTTCAACAAGTCCAAGACCAAGTTCAACCTGCCTGTGGACATGCTGAATCTAGAACTGGCCAAGAAATGCCAGATCCAGGTCAACGACTTCAACTACAGGACTCGCCTGCACCAGTGGACCTGCCTGCCCGACTCCAACGACGTGGTGCAGGCCAGGCATGCATATGACCTACAGAGTGATGTGAGTACTACTTCTACTTAATTTACATAGACAGACGAAGTGAAATATTTAAACACTGCTTCTTTTTATTGTCCAGGCCGTCTACAAGGAGGATTTGAGGATGTTGCAGGGTGTCGGCTGGGTGCCAATAGGTTCACTGGATGTTGAGAAGGCTAAAGTTGCTGCTCAGATCCTGAGTGAAAAGAAATATCGCCAGCACCCGAGCAACTTCAAATTCAAGTGCACTACTGAAGACATGCCAATGGCACTGGCTAAGGCTAATGCTCAGATCATGAACAAGGTGAGTTGTCACCAAGTTTTTGAGACAAGACAAACAGGTCATCATTTCATCAAAGTGTCTGTTCTCTGTTATTGCAATATAACTTCCCCTCTCATATTTCCTCAAACCTGCAGAAAGCATACAGTGAAGCCTGGGACAATGAGAAGACAAAGATCCACATCATGCCAGATGCCATGGACGTCCTTCTTGCTAAAGCAAACAGTTATTATTACAGCTTGGTTAGTATGATTCAATTACTGAATGAACTTCAATCCAGTGGTCAAATGGCTCTTATTTAAAATGTATACAAATTTGATTAATAAATGTTGGTAGAATTAATTTCAATTAAATATGTTTGGACTATTTTTAGAAAAATTACAAACAAGCTAATGAAGATGCTAAGAAGAAGGGCTACAATTTGCGTGCCGATGCCATATCCATCATTGCAGCCAAGACAACCAGGGACATTGCCAGTGATGTAAGCTGCCATAATTATTCACGATATACTGCTCCGAATGCGTCATCTTCTATGTTGGTAATTGTTTTCTTCCACTTTCCACCAGTACAAGTACAAGACTGGATACAGGAAGCAGGTCGGTCACCACATCGGTGCCCGCTGTGTCCAGGACGACCCTCTGCTCATGCTGGCTCTGAACTCGGCCAAGATTGCCAGCGACGCTCTGTACAAGAAGGACTTCAACAAGTCCAAGACCAAGTTCAACCTGCCTGTGGACATGCTGACCCTTGAGCTGGCCAAGAAATGCCAGGTCCAGGTCAACGACTTCAACTACAGGACTCGCCTGCACCAGTGGACTTGTCTTCCAGACTCTAACGACGTGGTGCAGGCCAGGCATGCATACGACCTTCAGAGTGATGTAAGAGTCTCTATTTCTTCTGTAGTGGAAAAATGTTTTCTTTAAATTCATGCCTGTTTATTATAAGAGTGACTGCTCAATAGCTGATTTCCGTTTGTTTGTTTTTTGTTCAGGCTGTGTATAAAGAGGATCTAAGATTGATGCAGGGTATTGGATGGGTGCCAATAGGTTCCCTGGATGTTGAGAAGGCGAAGAAAGCTAATGAGATTCTAAGTGAAAGGAGCTATCGTCAACACCCAAGCACATTCAGATTCAAGAGCACTACTGAGGATATGCCCCTGGCACTAGCAAAAGCCAATGCTCAAGTTATGAACAAGGTAAGAAACAAAACTATTCTCTTCAGCTGTTGATGAAAACAAATCACCTGAAAATGCTTCCGTGTTATGCAAAATTCACTTGTTTGTTGATCTCTCATGATTGTCGGTTTCTGTGATCACAGAAAGCTTACATCGAAGCCTGGGAGAATGAAAAGACAAAGATCCATGTCATGCCTGATGCTATGGACGTTCTTTTGGCCAAAGCAAACAATGTCATCTATAGTGTGGTATGTTCAAACTAAATAGACGGTGTGAACAAGTTCTAGCTTTACGTTTACGTTGTAAAAACATCATCTTCCTTTTCTGGATATGTTCACAGAAAAAATACAAACAGGCAAATGAAGATTCCAAAAAGAAAGGCTATGACCTGCGTGGTGACGCCATTTCCATTCTTGCAGCCAAAGCATCCAGAGACATTGCCAGCGATGTAAGTTATAAATGACAAATATTTGGAAAGTAGATCATTTTTTTAAAATCAAAACTTCTTGTTAAAGATTATACTGCTTTACCCCGGTTACTGGGTTTGATTGGTAACTATGACGCTATGTCTCTTTTGTCTAGTACAAGTACAAAACCGGATACAGGAAGCAGGTCGGTCACCACATCGGTGCCCGCTGCGTCCAGGACGACCCTCTGCTCATGCTGGCTCTGAACTCAGCCAAGATCGCCAGTGATGCTCTGTACAAGAAGGACTTCAACAAGTCCAAGACCAAGTTCAACCTGCCTGTGGACATGCTGAATCTAGAACTGGCCAAGAAATGCCAGATCCAGGTCAACGACTTCAACTACAGGACTCGCCTGCACCAGTGGACTTGTCTTCCAGACTCCAATGACGTGGTGCAGGCCAGACTTGCATACGACCTGCAGAGTGACGTATGTGGTACTTGTAATTTTCTTGTTCATGTATCTTGTTTGGTTTCGCAAACTCTGCAAACTCTGCCTGCTGTGCTTTCCAGGCCGTCTACAAAGCCGACCTGAAGTGGCTCCAGGGTCTGGGCTGGGTCCCCATTGGTTCGCTGGATGTGGAGAAAGCCAAGAAAGCTGCAGAGGTTTTGAGTGACAGGAAGTACCGTCAGCACCCCAGCACTGTAAAATTCACCAGTCCCATCGATGCCATGAACATTGTGCTGGCAAAGAGTAACGCAATGACAATGAACAAGGTAAACCTGACCTTCATGTGGATTTGTATGGCCATTTATGGCCTCACTGTTGCTCACAAAGATGGTAATGTTGTGTGCTATGTTGCTAGCGCCTCTACACTGAGGCATGGGAGAATGAAAAGACCAAGCTGCACATCAAGCCTGACACTCCTGAGATTGTGCTCTCTCAACAAAATGCCATCAACATGAGCAAGGTTAGTATAATCTCTTTTACAAATAATAAAAAAAACTGCAGATCTTACATTGAATTCTATAAATATTTGCAAAACTGTTTCTTTCTTGCTGCTTTGATAATCAATTATATCTGTGCCATAATTTCTAATCGTCTAATTCAGTTTACGTCATCTTGAAATGCTAAATAAATAATATAGCATGAAGTATTGTGACATGAGTTAAAGGAGTATCAATATTTATAGATATATATGTAATAAAACTCATACAAAACCACATATGAGTGCCAATATGGTAAATAAAATAAACAAAAGGGGTGTGTTAATGTCATATTAAATTATTTATTAACAAATTTCTTTATTAGTGTTCCCCTTACTGCTCACATATTACTTTTAACTGCTGCCAAACACTGTTAAGCTGGATCTTATATTACGTTTCTGCACTCAAAGCAAACAGATCCAACTAAATCAGAGTCATTTAGTCATCCTATCCTGTTAGCTTAGAGAAAGAGTGTGGTGAGTCTGGTTGCCTTATTATGTAAGACTATATTTGATCAATAAGTGGTAGTCATTGAATTTAGTTTTTAAAATCACTTGAAATGTCAATTTTTGACTGTTTTTCTGCAGAAACTGTACAAACAAGGCTTTGAGGAAACCATCAGTAAAGGCTACTTCCTTCCTCCGGATGCAGTTTCTGTCAAGGCTGCTAAGACCTCCAGGGATATCATCAGTGATGTGAGTCCCACCCACTGTAGCGTCCGTTTCGTCCACTAATTCTCACAGAAAATGTAAGCAACGGTTGTAAGATAAACATTTTTTCATCCACTTTCCACCAGTACAAGTACAAGACTGGATACAGGAAGCAGGTCGGTCACCACATCGGTGCCCGCTGCGTCCAGGACGACCCTCTGCTCATGCTAGCTCTGAACTCGGCCAAGATCGCCAGCGACGCTCTGTACAAGAAGGACTTCAACAAGTCCAAGACCAAGTTCAACCTGCCTGTGGACATGCTGAATCTAGAACTGGCCAAGAAATGCCAGATCCAGGTCAACGACTTCAACTACAGGACTCGCCTGCACCAGTGGACCTGCCTGCCCGACTCCAACGACGTGGTGCAGGCCAGGAAGGCCTACGACCTCAAGAGTGACGTGAGCACCCATGTCACATGTTCAGCTTCTTATGTGGTGCATCTGTTTGTATGTACTTTCTAAGACTCAAACTGTCTTGTTCAGGCTGTGTACAAAGCCGACATGGATGAAGTGATCGGTGTAGGATGGGTGCCCATCGGTTCTCTGGAAGTGGTGAAAGCCAAGAACGCTGCAAAGATTCTGAGCGACCGTCTCTACAGGCAGAAACCGGACACATTCAAATACAAAACCGATATGACTGCCATGCCCCTGGTCTTAGCCAAAACAAATGCAGAGACCATCAATAAGGTAAAGATGCTCATATTTGGTATTTTGGTTATTCTGATGATGTTCTTGGGGGCATCTTGACTTAATTATCTGTGTTTATTTTTCCCACACAGAAAAACTACATTGCTGCATGGGAAGCAGACAAATTAAAGACCCATATGATCCCAGACCTTCCTGAAATCCTGCTTTCCAGAGCTAACGCCTACAACATCAGCAATGTAAGTCTGACCTATGTATACCTAACGCAGCTTTGCTTAGTCCTGTTGCAATTCACATTTTCTTTCTTTTTCAGAAAAATTACAGAGAAGCGGTCGAGAAAATGTTCAGAAAGGGCTACAACATGATGCCTGACGCTGTTTCTGTTGTTGCCGCTAAACACGGAAGAGAAATCATCAGCGATGTACGTCACATATTATTCTTTCATTTCTCCTCAACATGTGGTTTTGCTTAAAATAACTTTTGATTTCATTTATTCATTTTTGTCTCTTTAAAGTATAAATACAAGACCGGATACAGGAAGCAGGTTGGTCACCACATCGGAGCACTCAGCTGTCAGGACGACCCTCTCATCGTGCTGGCTCTGAACTCGGCCAAGATCGCCAGCGATGTTTTGTACAAGAAGGACTTCAACAAGTCCAAGACAAAGTTCCACCTCCCAGTGGACATGTTGAACCTTGAACTGGCCAAGAAATGCCAGGTCCAGGTCAACGACTTCAACTACAGGACTCGCCTGCACAACTGGACTTGTCTGCCGGACTCCAACGACGTGGTGCAGGCCAGGAAGGCTTATGACTTACAGAGCGACGTGAGTTCAAAACCCACTTGTGGTCAAAATAACTACGTCTTGCAGAATATGGTTATTTTGATACTTTGTCACGTTTCAACAAATTTAAATGTATGCTTGATCATTTCACCTAATGTGCAACCACCTTTAAAATTTAATTGTAAATGCATTTATATTGAGTTAGTAATCTGCATTATTAACTTAGAAAATGTTATTTGACAGGGTGCGCATAAGACTGACATGACACCATCTTAAACATGAAGGGGTCTTCATGAATGTTTATGACTGTTGCCATGAAGCATCTATATTTATTCTATTGTCATTAAAAGTCCATTAAAAGTGTAAACGTTGCATTATTTTTTAAAAAATGACACTTTTAATGGTCTTTCAATGCAACTTTTAGAGCAACTTTCCATTAGAAGTGTCATTATTTACCGAATGACTCAGATCGTTGCTCCCCACTCACACAGGCTGTGTACAAGGCTGACATGGAATGGGTCAAGGGGATGGGATGGGTGCCAATTGGGTCGCTGGAAGTGGAGAAAGCCAAGAAAGCAGCAGAGATCCTGAGCGACAGAAAGTACCGGCAGCATCCCAGCCAATTCAAGTTCACTGCCAAGACATCAGATATGCCATATGCTCTCGCGCAAGCTAATGCCCAGAATATGAACAAGGTACAAAAAGCTAAACTTAACCATTTCTTTTTATAGAAAGTTTTGGTGAGTTTTATTCTCATATGAAAGCTACTTAATAAGAAAATTTTGGTTTTTGATGCACAATTATGCAATACATTTTTCAGAAAGCGTACACTGAGGCCTGGGAGAAGGACAAGCTCAACCTCCACATCTTACCTGACACTCCAGAAATCCTGCTGGCACAGCAGAATAAACTCAACACCAGTCTGGTAATGCAACATTTTTTTTTTTTACATAAATAAATAATTTTCTCCAAAGATCATTACTGAATGTGTAGATGTTTGGTTTTTAGTACAAACTGAACAGCATGCAACATCATTTCTTTTTGTTCCTTTCACAGAAATATTACCGCGAAGGTTTTGTTGATGCCATCAACAAGGGCTACTTCCTTCCCAAAGATGCCATTTCTGTCCTAGCAGCCAAAACGTCCCGCGACATCATCAGCGACGTAAGTTTGAGTCACAGACATTTTTGCACTTCGCATCGTATGTAAACGGTTTCACCTCACGGAACTCACGGAGATATTTTTCTTTTGGTTTTAGTACAAATACAAGGCTGGTTTCCGCAAGCAGTGCGGCCACCACATCGGTGCTCTGAGCGTTAAGGATGACCCGCTGATCATGCTGGCCGCCCATGTGGCCAAGATCTCCAGCGACAACATCTACAAGAAGGATTTCAACATGACCAAGACCAAGTACAACCTGCCAGTGGACATGCTGACGATCGAACTGGCCAAGAAATGCCAGGTCCAGGTCAACGACTTCAACTACAGGACTTACCTGCACCAGTGGACCTGCCTGCCCGACTCCAACGACGTGGTGCAGGCCAGGAAGGCCTACGACCTGAAGAGTGATGTGAGCACATGAGCCATGGCGTCTAATTAAGCCAATTTATGAATTAAAAGAAAATCACCCATAAAGCCAATATTTTTTTGTTTTTTTTTAAGGCTGTTTACAAAGCAGATATGGAGTGGATAAAAGGCTGCGGCTGGTCTCCCCATGAGTGCGTGGATGTGATCAAAGTTAAAAACGCCCAGGCTGTTCTGAACGACAGACTCTACCGCCAGCACCCAAGCACCGTCAAGTTCACCAGCGTTGTGGACCTCCCCGCTATCGTCCTGTCCAAGCAAAACGCTGAAAACCTCAGCAATGTGCGTCGGAAAGCGGATCAAAGCTGAGAATTTGTACAAATATTTGTGCAAATGAGAACAAAACAAAGTATTTTTTTCTCTCTCTCTCTTTGACAGAGGAAATATACAGAAGTTTGGGACAAAGATAAGCTCACCATTCACATCCCACCTGACATTCCTCCTTACGAGCTTGCCAAGGCCAACGCCATCACTATCAGCAATGTGCGTTTGTACCGACCTTGCTTTGAAAATAACACACCAGTTCTGATCTTATTGAGACTGCCTCCTGGTTTGACAGTGATACCTTATAATTACCCGTTGTGCTCTCTGCAGAAACTGTACACACAAGCATGGGACGAGCAGAAGGCCAAAGCCTGCCACGTCAAGGAGGACGCCATATCTGTGCTGAAAGCTAAAGCTTCCAGGGACATCATTAGTGATGTAAGAGAGAAGAAAATCACGCTGCATCTGTAATGTGGGCTTTTTTAAAAAAAATTTACTTCCTTATTTTTTTTCTTGCTTTTAGTTCAAGTATAAAGAGGGATACCGTAAGCAGGTCGGTCACCACATCGGTGCCCGCTGCGTCCAGGACGATCCGCTCATCATGCTGGCTCTGAACTCGGCCAAGATCGCCAGCGACGCTCTGTACAAGAAGGACTTCAACAAGTCCAAGACCAAGTTCAACCTGCCTGTGGACATGCTGACCCTTGAGCTGGCCAAGAAATGCCAGGTCCAGGTCAACGACTTCAACTACAGAACTTACCTGCACCAGTGGACCTGCCTGCCCGACTCCAACGACGTGGTGCAGGCCAGGAAGGCCTACGACCTCCAGAGTGACGTGAGTTACTGGAGATTTTTTTACAAAGTGTCCCTTTGGTATTTTATGATTACCTGCATTAATTAAATGAACGTTTCCCTCCAGGCTGTGTACAAAGCTGACATGGAGTGGATAAAGGGCTGTGGGTGGATTCCACACGAGTGTGTTGATGTTGTAAAGGTGAAGAATGCACAGAAGATTCTCGCTGATGTAAGTTTCACACACGACCATCCTCAAACCATATTCCATATGTTATATTTAAGTTAGAAGGTACTTCGAGGTTGATATGATTTTGATGTAATCTTGCTTTTGTTCACAGAGAGGCTACCGGGTCAAGCTGGATGAACAGAAGTTCACAGTTCCCACTGACAGAGTTGACTTGGCCTGCGCCAAGAATGCTGCTGATGTCTTAAACGAGGTAACAGCTTTTCTCCTTTTGCAGATGTTTTATGAATTTGTTTTGATGCTTTGTTTAAAATTCCATTGCAGAGATGTTGCAGCATCACATATGTCATTTTGTTTTGTCTTTTTGTTCTTCTCAGGCCAAATACCGCGAAGCTTGGCACCAGGATAAGACCAAGTACTCTTTGGTGGACACTCCTGGTCTTGCTACGGCCAGAGAAGTCGCTAAAAATATTCACCCGGTAAGGTTTGTCACACGTTTCAGTTCGAGCGCACTTTAATTTTCTACCGTTTCTGGATTTATTTAATATTTTTTTTCTGTCTTGCCTTCATGCAGAAACTGTACACTGAAGCATGGGACAAGGTGAAAGCCACTGGATACTTCATGCCTGGAGATGCCGTACCAATTAAACAGTGCATCGATACAACTAAAGTGCAGAGCAAGGTGAGCAGAGGGAGTTTATTTCACACAGTAAGAATTTGTACAGGGATTGCATGTGTTGGTATTGAGAAATGAAGCACGCATCTGAATTTATAACTTATTGTTTGTAGTTCCAGTTTAACATTTTAGTTACATCATGTAGACATAAAAAAACACATCTCGTCCATGTTACTGACAAACAAAATAACCCAACAAAATCTGATTACTTTGTTTATTCAAAGTTTATTCTGAAAGATAGAAAAGTAATTCACATTTTTGGGACTCTTGACGTAACGATTATGGCCCATGTGGCAACATGATTGGATTTCACAAATTTAGGGATTTAAAGAAAAAGTTTGAATTTTGAGATTTTAACTTAATGTTAATTTTTAAGTCATTCATATATAGTTTTTCAAAAACTCCTTCAATCAAACTGGTGCTTGTGACCACGAGGTTACAAAGTAATATAAATAAAACGGAGAATGACAAAATAAACTATATGCAACTTTAAATATTGACAAATTATAATAGTCTCATTACATGTGTTTTCTTATGCAGCTCTGTTTGTTATTTTGAAATTTGTACATTTACTCACATTGATTTGAATCTGCATTTACCTTCAACTTTCTGCTGATGCACATAATAAATATTCCTATTGTATTGAATTGTATTCCATTCTTCCAAAGATTAGTTGAATTTTTATTTTTTATTTTTTTACGTTTATCATGCAATGTGATGTGTGCAATAGATTCCAACTATCGATGTAGTTGTGCTAAATTGATCAGTTGACAGCAGGTATTACAGTTACCTAATGTTTACTGACAACAAAATGTGAATAACAATGTTTTTTTTTTTTTTTTTTTATCTTGTAGCATAAGTACCTCGAGTCGTACCGCAAGCAGGTCGGTCACCACATCGGAGCCCTGAGCGTCAACGACGATCCGCTCATCGTGCTGGCCATAAACTCGGCCAAGATCGCCAGCGACGCTCTGTACAAGAAGGACTTCAACAAGTCCAAGACCAAGTACAACCTCCCAGCAGACATGCTGACCCTTGAGCTGGCCAAGAAATGCCAGGTCCAGGTCAACGACTTCAACTACAGGACTTACCTGCACAACTGGACCTGCCTGCCGGACTCCAACGACGTGGTGCAGGCCAGGAAGATTTACGACCTGCAGAGTGACGTGAGTAACTGGAGATGAACTTTTGTCTGACTTCAATAAAAGGTCAAAACGTTTATCCCTTACTCGCTGTGGTTTCCGTCTGCAGAACGTCTACAGGGCTGATCTGGAGTGGATCAGGGGCTGCGGCTGGGTGGCAGCTGACTCTGTCGATCACGTCAAAGTCAAGAAAGCCCAGGAAATACTCAATGATGTAGGTTTTGTCGTCGCATCCAGAGTCTGCTATTTGCTTGAGTTGTTGCCACGTCGTGGTTCATCTTGGTTTGGTTTGTTTTTCATCTGCAGAGGCTTTACAAGCAGAACGCCAAAGAATGCTTTGGAAAATTCAGCCTGATTGTGGATCGCCCTGAGATCGTTTTGGCAAAAATAAACGCCGCCAACCTCAGCGACGTATGTAATCGAGCGCTTAATGTCATAAATAAAAAAAAGAAAGAGAAAATTAACCAGTTAATAAATATTCATTACGCTTATTTTTTTTCTTTTTCCAACAGCTAAAATACAAAGAGAGTTTCAATGCAGAAAAAGGTCATTACATCGGCTCGGAGGACACTCCTCAGCTGGCACACAGCAGAGAAATGGCCAAGACCACCAGTGAGGTAATGTGAATCTGCAGACCGAGTCGCTTCTTTCTCCACCTTGACTTTGACTTCAAGGTTTCATTTGTAACATTTTAACTCTTTTTCTCATTTTAGAAACTTTACAAATCGCAATGGGACAACTCTAAAGCTACGAGCTACAGCCTGAACCATGAATACATCCCATTACTGAGTGGCAAGAAGGGCAGGGAGATTGCCAGTGACGTAAGTTTGAAAGATAAAAATACAGAAAGTGATTGTATGTTTTTCTCTGGCTACATTTAAATAAAATGAATACTGTCATTGTTCTTGTTAGGTGAAGTACAAGGATTCTCATGAAAAAGCCAAGGGCCACTACATGGCCGGGACCCTGGTCGACTTCCCCGAGGTGATGCGCTGCGGCCAGCAGGAGAAAAACAAGGGACTGGTAAGATGTCAGCTAAATTCAACTTTATCTATTTCCAGCAAACCTAAAAAGCTTGAGGACAAGTCTGTATAACATTGAAAAAAAGAGTTTTTTTGTCATTTTCTAGTGGAAGGAAAGCACAGTTCTTGTACAAATTTGTGTAGAAAAGAGCCAAGGCACAAAATAGGAAGGTTGGTCAATTCATACTTTGTCGTTTGTAAGTTGCTGATTAAGTATACTTTCTACTTTCGCGAAGAAAGTGAAACAGATAAAGGTGTTTTCTTTCAGTAAAATTTTGTGGCTGTAATTGGAGCTTGACTCCTCCTCGGTTTTTTTTTTTTATTATTAATGTGTCTTCACAGAGGGTCTACCAGAAGGACTACCACCAAACCAAGACCAAAATCCACCTCCCATCTGACATCATCGCCAACCAGGTGGCCAAGCGGTGCCAGGACATGTTGAGCGATGTCCTGTACCGCACCCACCTGCACCAGTGGACGTGCCACCCAGAGCAGGAGGACGCCATCCGGGCCCGGAAGACCAATGAGATTCTCAGCGATGTAGGTCGTCCTTCTGCGTCCCGATCCAGTTGTCGTACAAATGTGTCGCGTGAGCTTTCTGAAATTACAAATGGAAAAACATTCCTCTTCTAATCACTGAGAACGTAAAATCTAATTCGTGTCTCTGTCGAGAAGCAACATGTAACTCTTGCATGTTTTACCAGGTTTTCTACAAGGACGACCTGAACTGGATGAAGGGCATCGGTTGCTATGTCTGGGACACGCCAGAGATTATTCGCGCTAAGAAGTCCTACGAGCTGCAGAGTGAAGTCAGTATTTTTATATTAAATGGTTCGTCAAAGCCAATTTCAGAGAGAGAGAAAAAATATATGTGATTAACTCCAATATTTTGTCTTTGTCACATTCCAGCGTCAATACAGAGCTGACGCTAAGAAAGAGTTCAACAACTACTCCATTGTGACCGACACGCCTGAGTATGTGACCGCCGTCCTGGGCCACACCTGGGCCAGCGACGTAAGTGGGCGTGATTTCAAAAATCGCCGTAAATGGTGTTCTGGAAAGAAAAAAACAAAAACCTTTGCATGTATCTTTAATCTTAAACTATTTTTCTAGCTGAACTACAGGGAGGCATATCACAAGGAGAAGCACATGTACACCACGGTTCTGGATACGCACGATTATGCCAGATGCCACGACTTCAAATTGTTCTTCAGCAATGTGAGTGAAAATTATAATACAAAAAAAATGTTTCACGTGTAAAAAGTTTTTAAGAGGCACTGGAACATTTTGACAATGTTTTCAATTTTCTATCCGAAGAAAAACTACACAGCCGCCTGGGATAAGATTAAGGCAAAGGGCTACAAGATCCCAGTTGATTCCAACGCCTTACAACATGCCAAACAACAGAAGATCGTTCTCAGCCACGTAAGTTGAAGCTCAGCTCTTACAGTGTCGTAACCAAGAGGTGGTTCTCTTTAAAACTTCTTTGTGGGACTATGTGGATCTTCTTTCTTCTTTAGGTAAAGTACAAGGAGGATTATGAAAAATTCAAGTCCCTTTACAGTCTGCCAAAGTCACTCGAAGACGATCCTGCTACTGCTCGCTGCGTCAAGGCCGGAAAGTTGGTTCTAGATGTAAGTCGCTTTCCAATTTTGAATCATCTGATCACCAAAAGTTAAATTGCCTTTGTTAAGAATGACTCACGGTCGTGACAAGCTGGAAATATTTCTAGTAACATGAGTGTCTGTCGCCTGTACCGTTCAGCGTCTGTACAAGGAGAACTACGAGAAGAGTAAGGCCAAGAACCACATCCCGCCGGACATGCTGGAGATCCTGTCCGCTCGCAACACCCAGGCCACCGTCAGCGGTATCCACTACCGCAAGTACCTGCACCAGTGGATGTGCATGCCTGACATGCAGATGTACGTCCAAGCACGCAAAGTCAACGAGCAACTCAGCGACGTGAGTCACCATCCTACAGCCAGAGAACTACAAATATCTGGGTTTCTAGCATCTCTGATTATAAAGAGGTAAAGAGGAGATTAAATCAAAGTGCTAAATAGAAGTTATCCTTGCACAGATCTTCTACAAGGACGACTTGAACTGGCTGAAGGGCATCGGGTGTTACGCCTGGGACACTCCAGAGATCCTCCGTGTGAAGCATGCTGGTGTCCTGCAGAGTGAGGTAAATGGCCTGTAATGTTTTCACCTTTTATTTAATTTTACATCCTGGCTTATTGCTGGTCTTTTACGCTCATTTTTATTTTTTATTTTCTTCATTCCAGGCCAAGTACAGAGCCAAAGGTATTGAGGCGTTCAAGGAGTATAGCGTGGTGACGGACACTCCGGTGTATGAAACAGCCAAGCAGAACGCTCAGAACCTCAGTGATGTAATAATCATTGTATTATTATTATTATTATTTTATTATGTTATGAAGTCATTGATTTTCTTGATTCACTTTCTGAATTATTGCTGCCCAGGGTTTCCGCTATGTGTAATTCATCGTGGCGCACCGCCATGTCAAAATAAAAACCATCACACTTTTTATATATATGTTAAGAGAATATAAGATATATCATTACATGCAGCTCTGGAAAAAAAGAAGAGTCTATTGAAAACCTCCTTGTTATAATTATATAACCAGGAGAAATATTGATTTCTGAACTTTTCCTGAGTTCAGACATCACTGTTGTTGTTCCTCAATGAATGTGAACTTGTTTTCTTTGCATTTACTGCATCTTATTTGTGACTTTGGCCATTTCTCGTTTTCTGCAAATAACTACTAAATATTTTCCTTGACATGTTGTCAACAGTTCATAGAATAAAATAAAATGTTCATTTTACTCAAACAAAATCAGAGGAACTGTTCGTTTAAAATGCTCTCTTCATTTTTTCCATCATGAACACAATCGGCATCGTCGGTCAAATCTGTTTTCCCTTTCTTTCGTCCAGCTTCACTACCGTTACGATTACAACGCCAACGTCAAGGGCAAGCACACCTGCCCTGCTGTCACCATGGAAACAGAAAGAGCCCGCCTGGCCAATCACATCCAGAGTGACGTAAGTTAACAGTCAACATATTTTTCTTACATTGGTATGTATCGCGAAATAATTTTCTCGTTTGGCGTCTTGTGCTAGAACTGGTACAAAGAGGCCAACAAGATCTTCATGCCCACCGGTTACTCTCTGCCCAGCGACACGCCGCTCATCAAGCAGGCCAAGATGAACAGCGTCGTCACCAGCAACGTGAGTGTGTGAACTCTCGACAACAGTAGAGGAACGTGTCTTCAGGTTGTTGCGATTTAACCTAAATGACACACGTTGTTTCTCAACTGTTCAGGCGAAATACAAGGCGGCCTTTGAGATGGTGAAGGCTAAAGCTTACACTCTTCACCCGGAAGGTGTCAACTTTGTCACCTCGAGAAAGGCTCACAAGATCATCAATGACGTAAGTGAAGAAGCGTGCGAAGAGGCCCACAGCCCTTTCCGATCATTTCACTCAGCGAAGCGACTCCCGTCTGTTCTCGTCCTCAGCGTCTGTATCGTGAGGCTTACCACAAGCAGAAGGACAAGATCCACACAACCTACGACACTCCGGACTTCAAACAGTTCAAGATGAACCAACAACACCTCAGCGACGTACGCCACCATTATCGACGCTGTTCACTTTTCTGGTTTGACCGAGTTGAGAGGACTTGCCTTTTTACGCCCGTTTCTTTGCTCCCCACTAGCTGTGCTACAAGGAGAAATACTACAACAGCCGAGGCCAGCTGATATCCATGCCTATCACGCCCGAACTCATGCACTGTCATCACGTCAATGAGATCACCAGCGAGGTACCGTACAAGAAAAACAGACATGATGGTCTCCCACTTCTTCACAAAATGTGTTCTACAGCCAACCTTGTTGAACTTTGTCGTTTTAGCTGAGGTACAAAGAGGATCTGATGTGGCTGAGAGGCGTCGGCTGCTTCCTGTACAACACCCCGGAGATGGTCCACGTCCGAAACATCAACAAACTCAGGGTGCGTTGGAAGAAATGCTCCTGTCGTGTTTCCAGTGTTTATTTTCGGGGGTTTTTCTTCTTTTCTCCAGTGGCGCTTCGCTCACATGAGCTGTTTTTCCATTTACAGACGGGCTACCAAGTGGATGCTAAGAAGAACCTGTCAAACTACACCGTGGTCCTGGATACGCCAGAGTACAACCGCGTGACTGAGCTGAAGACTCACTTCAGTGATGTGAGCTGTTTTCTCCCATTTTTGGAAAAGTTTTTCTTTTTTTTTTCTTTTGCATTATTATTTTGTTTAATTTTATGTAGTTGACCAACACAATTACATAACAACACCAAACACAGGGCAACTATTTGTTGCAAAATTCACACAACGTCCTGTTGGGTTCAGTACGTTTTTATACTCTGCTAAGTCAGATCTCTGACTATCTTTATTTCATGTGCAGTATCCTTCAAAGGCTTTCAAAACTTGCATGTTTTTCATGTACTTTGGAGTGGGGTTAAGTTTTCTGTTTCTTTTTTGTCTTCAGCGCATATACAGAGCCCAGAGCAAGAAGGACATGATGAAAGTTTCCTCCATCGCAGATTCTTTGGACATAAAGAGAGTCAAGTGGGCCCAGCAGCTGACAAACAAGGCAAGCTGAAACATGTCTCTGGTCTTTATTTATTATTTTCTCTACTGTAATATATGCTGATTGTTCATTTATATTTATTTTTTGGTTTCTGCAGTACCAGTACACAAGTCTGGCATCAAAAGAGAGAGCTCATTTCACTCCAGAAATGAACACTCCAACTAATCAACACGCGAGGAAAATGAAAGTGGTTTTCAGTGAGGTAAGCGCTCCAGCGTCCTTTAATGTGCTTGATAAATAAGGTTACCTGAACTGATTGAAGTTTTCTAAAACAAACATCTAATATGCTGCGTATTTTGTTCTCCACTCAGAATAAATACAAAGAGCAATATGAAAAGATGAAGCACAGGTACACCGCTATTGCTGACACGCCCATCCTGATCCGGTCCAAGAAAGCCTACCTCCAGTCTAGCAATGTAAGACTTTGTTAGAAAATGCCACGTTTTCTGATTCAGAGCTTAAATAGGCTAATAATAATAATTAAAAAATGACCTTTTCCCACATTTTCTTCTTCCTTCAGCTGCGTTACAAGGAAACCTTTGAGCTTTCCAAGGGCCACTATCACACCAACAAGGACGCCCTGGACATCGTGTGCCACCGCAAGTTCACTGACGACATCAGCGAGGTCAGCAGTCCAAATGAACTCCTCTGAAATGACCGGTTCTCCATCGAAAGGGGGACGACTTGCGACTTGTTCCGTTTCTACTCCACAGGTGAAATACAGAGAGAAGTACATCAGCTCTCTGGGCACGTGGAAGTCCATCCCCGACCGCCCCGAGTTCTTCTTCAGCAAGATGGCCAACGATAACATCAGCAACGTAAGTACGCAAAGCTGCACCTGACAGGAGGACTAACATGCGGGGCAATATCTGTGAGAAACTCTTGGTTTTGTTTGTGTTTCTAGGTGAAGTACAAGGAGGACTTGGAGTGGATAAAGGGCATCGGGTGCTTCGTTTGGGACACTCCTGAGTTGGTGATGGCTGACAGGAACAAGGCTCTGTACAGCGAGGTGAGGGAAAAAATAGTTTCCTATATTCATGTTTAAAACAAGAATACATTCTGTTTCAACCATCCATTTATTTGTTAATGTTTCTTTCTTTTACAGAGACTTTACAAAGCCTCATTTGAGAAGAACAGAGGAAACTTCAAATACACATGCGACACGCCGTTCTTCGAGGCTGCAAGGAACGCCTCGACTCTCATCAACGACGTGAGTCCTTCCCTTCTGTTGCCTCAAATGATCTCGTTATCGTTTGCTCTGAAATGATCAACTGTGTTTATCTGTCTCTTTGCTTCTCTCTTGGACTCTCTACGTGGAGGTAAAATAATGTGATCTTTTTATTTTATTAGATTTGTTGCTTAGATCACTGATTCTCGACATTGGGGGAGCTAACAGCTCGGGTGGTGGTGAGGCGGTTATCGGCCGTTACAACAATATTTGAGTTGGATATTGATATCAGCTCTTATGATCATGCCGGCTCTCTGCGTAGTAAATGCACCACATTGTTACAAATGTTATGTATTAATGTTGGTTGCTTGGATATCAATGGGATTAATTGATAACATATATTCCATCCCAGGACAGTGTTTTTGGGTTTTGTTAAAGCAACAAAAAAAAAAAAAAAGAAAAGGATTTCTGGGGAAAAATATTTGGAAACCACCGTCAGCTGTTTTTCAGGTGTATCGATGTGTATTTCACATTTTTGTCCATTTTTACAGCAACATGTTCCTTAAAGTTTGCTGACATTCCAGAGACGCCATTTTTCCCCCCTGACATTTGTTTTTAACAACCTTCTGAAATTCTGAGCAGAGGATCTACAGAGCTAATTATGAGAAGACCAGGGATAAGTTCACCATAACCACAGACGATCCCAGGTACCAGCTGGCCAGGGAGAACAGGAAGATGAGCCAGGTAACCGTCCCGGATGTGATGGACGACCGGGCGGCTTCGCCCGCACGCCGCCGGTCCTCTGGGCCGCTCGCACCCGGCGCATGAGGCCTTCCACAGACCTGCCGGTGGGGCTGGTAGCCGCATGACTGTGCTGGGGTCCTCTGTATCATTGTCTCTCTTCCTATTTGTCCCTCACAGGCCCCTGTAATCCATGCCACTCAAACAGCAGCCGCTATCTTGAGTGAGCATGACCTTTCTGCATCTGTTCCGTGAGAGAGACAGCTTCACTTCACAGATTATCCAAATCGTTTATTTATTTTACAAACCTGGCTCTAGTGAATGTGATCACTTCTGTCTCTCTCTCTGGGGACAGATGAGTGGACTCGAGTGTCTTCCTGGGATCTCCAGAGCGTTCCTCCAGTCCCTCCCAGTGTTGTTTCTGTCTCCCAGTTTGTTCTAAACTGTGGCATGCTTTGTGTGTATGTTCGTTATTGTGGGTGTGTGTGGACAGAAAATGTATAAATCCCGAGCAATGGATCTACTAAAGAGTGGCTGCAATGAGTTTCTCCGCCCTGACATCCTCACAGCCCTTTGCCAGTCCGTTATGGGCAGCAAGGTAAACCGTCAGAGACCAGTGAGCTGCTGTAACAGAGACCCGTCCACAAACACACAGGAACCTTCAACTGGACAATGCTAAGCTATTAGACGGTTATGAGATTGTGACATTTTTCATTTCAGTTTTACTTTAGCTTCACAAACTAGCGTTTTATGTAGCCAGCGTGTACTGTGGTAGGATTAGGATCATCTTAGACTTTTTACATTGAAATATGTTTTTGGATTCAGATGCAGTTTACAGGTTAAGGCCTGCACAAGTTGACAAAAAGATTTATTTATTTAGGTCATTTTTTAATGACCTAAATGAAATCTGAGAAGGTTAATTAATTAATCATTTTTGACCCAAGTTTTTTCTAAGAAGAGCTATAGTTTTACATGAAAATTTGATCTACTCATTTGAAAGTCAAAATAATGCGCTTTTGATATTTTTGCCTTATCACTTGGTGTTCAAGTTTCATGACGTTTTTTTAGAGATTGTTTCTCTCTCCCTGGTGTTTGTGGACATTGTTTTTATTTTTTCTTCATCCATTTCATCCTCCTAAAAGTGGTTCTAGATCCATGTATTCCTCCTCCTTCATTTCCTAATCCCTCCATCGCTTCCCTTTCATCGTCAGTGAAGCTTTAACTCTTTCTAAAACACAATATCGTTGCACAGAATCATAAAATGTGTTAGTCACCTTCTACACCACGTCTACATTTTTATTGTTATATTAGAAGCTGATTACAGATTCTTTTTCTACATTTTTATTGTGGTAATTTTTACTATGTAGTATTTTACCAAAGCAACTTTGCATTGCATTGTAAGAAGGATGTGAGCGCTGCAGACTTTCATCACCAAATAGTTGTAATTTGTGTTTTAATTGTCATCTTTGTGTCTGTGTGTCTCACAAAGCATGTTTTTGGTGAATATTATGCATACTAATCCTCCATTTAGTTCTTTTTGATAGAAGTTGATATGATGTTTCTGACTTTTCTTTAACTGGAGTCAGACAACTATCCAAAAAACTGAAAATAGAACAATAGTAATAACCTAACTTGTTATTACTAGAATTTATTATTGTAATAAATTGCTATTGATTGCAATTCTTCCCTGTAATAAATTATAAGTTTATTATACGACTATTTTAATTTAATCCAAAATGTGAGATGTTTTTAATTCACTTTGGCAGAAAAGATATTTCAAATAACTTTGTTCTTTTTGGATAGTTTCTCTTTGCATTCACAAGTTAAAACCATGCCAGATTTGAATGTTAAACATTTAAAGCACCTCCTTTTTACGAGCTACACTAACTTTACTCGTCCATCCTCAGTGGAAGTACAGGGAGCAGTACGAGCGCGCCAAAGATAAGTTCACATCTGTTTTGGAGACTCCTGAGTACGAGACTCACAAACGCAGCAAGAAGATCACTGATGTGAGTTTTAGTGGAGTTTCCTTATCATTTACTGCCATTTTTCTCTTTATTTGTCATTTCTGTTGCTGAAATGTTCCTCGTCTCTCCTTAGGTCATCTACAAGATGGAGTACAACAAGACCAAAGCTAAGGGATACACCTTGCCTTATGACACTCCACACCAGCAGCACATGAAGAAGGTCAAAGAGATCACTAGCAACGTAAGTTTCACTCTTGTGACACATTTCTACATATGTTTTCATCTACAAATTTGTAACCTGATCTAATTCCTTGCATCTACAAAAAGAAACACAGCACTTATTACTGTGTCACAGAACATAAGCTGTAGTAGCCTGCATAGGTTTTATTTCAACAGAGCCATAAGGAGGGTCTTAGCATTCTCAGTCAAGCTTGTGTATGCGCTGCAGCTGTGCTCTGATTGGCTGCTTCTGACTGAAACAGCCAATTGATTATTTTTTTCACAGCTCCTGTTATACTGAACCGAAATGTAACAAACTGAAATATTACGGGTAGGATAAAGAATCTTTTATTTATTTAATTTCAGCAGAAATACTAATTTTATAGTTGTAGTAGTTTCTATGAGAATGTGCTTCACTGTCCAAAATGCTGTGAGAACAATAAAGCCAATATTAGCTGGCTAATTAGTCAGGTTGTCTGCTCAGTTAGCCAGCCTTCAGTTGTCTGCTGAACAAACATGCAGCTCTCAACTTTCCATCGACACTTTTAAAACGCCTGTCAGTGTATCACGCTAAGCTTCATACAGATGAAGGAAGCCATTCACTCCTTTCTTCATGCTTTATGGCATCTCTTTTAAACATTTGGTAAAACTTCAGGACGATTGGCCATAACCAGTCTATTCTTTATTGTAATTATTTATCTTGATTCCTCTTTCAGCTGAAATACAAAGAGGTGTACGAGAAGAGCAAAGCCCAGATCAACATGGACCCAGAGGCTCATGACATCCGTGCTGCCAAGGAGGCCTACAAGAACATCAGCAATGTAAACATCCATAAGAAAATGACAATGCTTGTTGGAAACACAAAACACTCTAGCAACAATTATAAAGTGTTTCTTATGTTTCTGTTATTAGCTTGACTACAAGAAGAAGTACGAGGCAACTAAGAACAAGTGGATCTGGACAGCAGACAGACCAGATTTTATAAATGCTGCCAAAAACACTCTGCAGCAGAGTGATGTGAGTCCATTGTTTTGTTTGTTTGTAAGTGTAATTTATTTCTATATCTTTGTGCATTTGTCAGTATTGATCTGAACATAATTTCACTCACAGGTTGAGTACAAGTATGACAAAGAGATGATGAAGGGCTGTGTGATACCTATAGCGGATGACAAGTACACGCTCCTGTACAAGCAAAATGCTGAAATGGCCAGTGACGTAAGTGGTTCTTGTGACAGTGATCCGTGAAAGAATGGACCAGGTCACATCAACAAATCAAACACCTCTTTTGCCCACCTTCTGCAGGTGAAGTACAAAGAGAAGTATGAGAAGGGAAAGGGCCACTACATACCTGTTCTGGATACCCCTCAGATCCTCCATGCCAAAGCCGTGCGCACGCTGGTATCAGAGGTAAGGGCCAATAAATAAACGGGTACACCATTATTTGCACATCTTTACCAAACTTTCTGTTGGGAGTAAAGCGTATCAACATCAGATGAGAGTCTTGACATTTCCACATCCATTCTCAGAGCAAATACAAGCAGGAAAGCAAGAAGATCATGCAGTCCGGCTCATTCACCAAGCTGGCTGAGACCCGCGATACCGCCCACAGCAGGGAGGTCAAGAAGCTGGTCAGCGAGGTACGACGTTTTTTTTATGTTGTACCCAAATCAGCCCACGACTTGGAACTGCGTCTGTGAAACTTTCTTGTTCTCCCAAACGTACAGAAACAATACAAACAGAAGTTTGAGAAGGAGAGAGGCAAGTCGGTGTACAACCAAATGATCGTGCCACCTGATGTTCAGCACGCCATGGACGTGGCGAAGAGTCAGAGCAATGTGAGAGTATTTCTACACGAACGTTTGTCTTTTGAGGTGCTGCTCGGTCTCTACACTGTACTTTCTCTCTCTCTCTCTCTTTCTCTCTCTCTGTGTCGTGCCATAGGTCGCCTACAAAAAGGACGCCAAAGCCAACCTGCACTACACCACTGTAGTGGACCGTCCTGACATCAGGAAAGCCACCCAGACTGCGAAGCTCGTCAGTGATGTAAGCATCAAATACACGTAGAAATCTTTTGGGAGAAAAAGGTGATTTGATTTGACTAAGTGAAAGTTCAGATATTGTCCATGGGCTTGTTTATATTTTGAATATGAAGAAAAAAAACACTTTGAACATCAACCAAAATGTCAAAATGTTTGTTTTACCTGGTCAAGAGGGTGAGGTGGAAGTATAAACCTATCAGTGTTCCTACCCCTTATCCACCATTACATGCATAATCCTACATTTATTATATGTGTAATTCATACATATAACAAATAAACCAGTACTTAATAGTTAGCAAATCAATACGTTATCCATTTAATTTAATTACAGCGGATGAACAATAATTATACCTTCTAATTAATGAAGAAATATTATTTAGAACAATGTTATTTCTTCTAATATAATGTTCCTTCTAAAATACAATGCTAGTGTATTTTATGCTGGCATTGAAGCTAGATTTAAAAATGCTAGTTTTAATGTTGAATACTAGCATTAATAACAAAAACACCAACAATAATTGAATATTAATAATAATATAGTACATGCAGCAATAACCGTTTGTTTTTGGTTGATTTAAATAATTCAAATTACTTAGGCACTTTGAGATATTACTGCACAAATTAAAATATTGTGAATAAAAGTCTTCTTTAGCTTTTTGTGTGTGTTTTCACGAGCGCCTTTAACCGTAGCACATCGTTAATCTGCCAATCTGAAACCAAAACAAGCCCACAGCTGCATCGGTTGAGTTTGTTTCTGGTGCTCTGACTCTCGTCTCCGCCTCCGTCCGTCAGATCGGTTACCGCGAAAAGGCGCGCGAAGAGGCCAGTCGTGGAGGCTCCCTGATCCACCGGCCAGACATCGCTTTGGCGACCCATGTGTCCCAGCTGACCAGTCAGGTACAACAAGAGAGATAAATCGTTTTGTCTCCCTACATCTCAGGATACAGACACACCTCACCCCTTCTGCTAACATTTCTTTTAAGTTCTTTTTTTGTACCTCATTGGTTTAGTTTTCAGACTACCTCGCTGTGGTAGATGTGATGCTTTTAGCAGCACTCCTCTTGGCACAACGACTGAACTAGCAGCTCTTTGATAGTGCTTACTTTTCACCTTTGTATTAAAATCCATCTTTTAATCTGTCACTGTGACTTCATAATATATATTCATGTTTAACATGTCTAACTCCATCCTTAAACCTGACCTCATGTGTCTCTCTTCTTTCTCCGCTCCTCTTCTCTCTCGCTAGTCGTTCTAATCTCTTTCCTCTCATCTCTGTTCCCATAATGTCTTTGTCTCCTCATTCCACAACCTCGCTGGGCTTTGTAGGTGGAGGGCCAGGCCTCCCTCCATGGAGCAGCTTCCTATGATACCCCACTGATGCGGCACATTAAGAAAATGAGTGCGGTGACTAGTGATGTAAGGAGTCGCATGTCCTAAAACTGAGGGATACTGATATCTGTCTGTCTCTTAAAGTGAATTGTATTTTATTTTTTAAAGTATTTTGAGCTACCAGGGTCTGAAAACATCTTCTTTTTTTTATCCAGTGTATGAAACTATTTTGTGCTTTGATTTGCCTTGCTGTTTGTTTGCACCCTTCGGTTATGTGTGCATCCCTTGTTTTCCTCAGTCGGACGAGCTGTGACTCAGTGCTAAGCCTAGAAAATGCACTAGCTGCACTGGTATTCAGACTGTATTCCTTTGGATTTTTTAAAAACAGTTTCAGGTTACCCTTCCTTGTGTTTCTGACAGCTCACAGTCTGAAACCGAAGCTTTTGCTGCCGTATTTTTATGTAGCCTTTGTTTCGGCTCGGAGAACTTTTCCGGGATTTATTTATGATTTGAACACTAGAGGGCAGCATAGCCTTGTAGACTTCAGCTAAGCTAACAGCTTTGGGGATGCTAATTGTTCATTTCTGAAATGTTTATCGTATTCGCTTGTTATTTATGCTCTTAAAATATTCTTTATACACAACTAGTTCAGTGGAACATAATAGAGAACGTTTTTTCATACGTATTATTATGCATGAATTGAATAAGTGGGTCAAAAAACGAAACTATCACCTCTACATCAGTTTGTTCAGATTAAAAGCATCAGAAATAGGTTTAAAAATGTACTTTATTTTTTACAAATCAACAATGCTTTATGTTTAATAGCTAAGAGACAAATATCAGCTTGAACTTTTAAGATTGTTTTTACATGCTCAGATGTTGATTATTCCTGTCATTTATAAGCCTTTGATTGGGGTCAAATATTAAATGTATACCTGGATTAATAAAAATAATATACTTGCATGCACATCTAAGAACATTTAAAGTACCAGCTACATTTATTGTCATCCCTGATTAAAAGAAAAAGTGCATTATTTTTTAAGACAAATTCATCTTGTGTTCTAGGATCATAGTCTCAAGCTGAATAGGTTTCAAAAACGTTTAATTTTACTACATGCATTCCTGTGTTAATTAACTATTTTAAGCAAAATTTTAGAGGGTACAGTTGTTATTTTTACTACATGTATTCCTGTGTTAATTAACTATTTTAAGCAAAATTTTGAGTAAAAAGGTTGGATTGATGAAGAGTGATATTATGCTGCTGTGAATAAAAAGAGGAACGAATGGTTTTCATCATACAGATTCAACCAGGGGGTCACAATAAATGTGGACTGGAACAATCCATAGATGCCAAATGTTACACAGCATGTCCAAGGCAAAGAAACTGCCTGCAAGAAATCTGAGTCACTAATCCTTTCGGTCACACTTGCGTACCGTGTCTTTGTGTCACTTCGAGTCTGTAAATCCACTTGCTTGTCCCGACTCAGGGCTCATGCTGATTTCCAGTGTGTGTCGCCTTTCTGCCTGACCAGGTGAAGTACAAGGAGAAGTTTGACAAGGAGATGAAAGGGAAGAAACCTCAATTTGACCTGAAGGAGAGCAAGATTTACAAAACCCTGAAGGATGCCAATGACCTGGCTAGTGAGGTAGGCAATCCCAGAACCAGCTTCATGCCAGCTTCTGTGTAAAAACGTGGAGGTGGTCGTCGAAGTTTGAAGGATTGTAACAAGTGTAGCAGAGCACAGTTCTTCAAGGATCAAATCACTTTAGGGGAATAAGTTAAATTAATTTTACCATTCAATTTATCAACTTGAAATGCTTAAGAGTTTGCCGTCTGAATTATATGGCCTCATTGGTTAATTGTGATATTTATCACAATGAGTCTTGAAATTAGCTAAATTGACCAAATACCAAGTATGTTTTGTTAAAAAAAAGATTATTTGTGATAAAAAGAGCTCTCTGGTTTGATTGCTTATCAATCAATCAAGTAAATCAGATTAAATTTTTATAGCACATTTCAGCAACAAGGCATTTCTAAGTGCTTTAGATCATAAAAACACAAAGTCATGCAACATAGAATCTAATAGTCAAAACGTTACATTAAATCAAGTGCCATCATTTAAATTCTTTATCTATTATGTTTCAAAAGCTACACCAAACAGGTGGGTTTTTAGTCTGGACTTACAGGAAGTCATTGTTTCAGCAGTTTTGCAGTTTTCTGGAACCGTGTTCCAGATTTGTGGTGCATAGAAGCTGAACGCTGCTTCTGAGGAGGTCTGGAAGGTTATCCTTTACAATTATCAAAAGTCCTCAAAAAGCAATGAAATAAAGCAATGAAATCTTGAATAAGCTAAAGTTAATTAAGCCAAGTCCTCCTAAATGTATGTAACAACACCTGATCTCTGATGTCGCATCGGCTGACAAAGATTCGGTGCTCACTGCGTTGAAACTTCGTCTCTTGACGCCACCCAGGTGAAGTACAAAGGTGACCTGAAGAAGATCCACAAACCTGTGACTGACATGGCCGAGTCTCTGTCCATGCAGCACAGTCTGAGCACCAGCAAGCTCTCAAGTGACGTAAGATACCATCACCACCACCGCCGTCATCATCATCACGATTTAACCCTTTCCTTCTCCCACCCCAGCTGCCTTCTTTCAGTTCACCCTCAGTAGTTTATCGAAACAGTAACAGAACCATTCACCATCGCATATAGTCTGAAACTCTAGGATCCTTCATCTAAACACTCATAATCTTACAGACCTCATCTGGTAGTGACCCCGACCCTCCTCACCTTTAACATCTAATGCTTCACTTTTAATCCTGTAGGTCAAAATCACACTTTGATTGAGGATCGCCTAACATAAAATCCAACGTCTATCGAGCATTTTATCCTCTAATTTATAACATCTTTGCATTAATGATTGAAGTCAGCGTGTCCTGCTGTTTATGATATCTGCAGTGCCTTGCAAAAGTATTCCTAGCCCTTCGCCCCCTTTTTACATTTTGTCAAGTTGGAATCACAAGCTTCACAGGATTTTACGTGATAGACCAATGAAATGTAGTGATTCATTCATGAGTTGAAGGATAGTTTTCAAATGTAACTCTGAAAATTGTGGCATGCATGTGCATTTGGTCTCCTTTACTTTAAAAAATCCTTTTTAAAGTTCGCCACAAGCCACGCAGGGGACATGACACAAATAATGAAGAAGAGAAAGAAGGTGTCAAAAATACTGAGGCCACAAAAGAATTGAGAAGATTCATCTTCCGGCGGGACAAATACCCAAACATGCTCTCAGAGCTACAATAAAATGGCTTGGCTCTGAGAGCATCTTCATGTATTAGAGTGGTCTAGCCAAAGTTCAGACTTAAATGTAGCTAAGAATATGTGACACAGCCTGAAACTGTACACCCCAGAATTCGCTCTGCTTTGCATCGGTCTATCACACAAAACCCCTAAAGCTTTCCTGTGATAAAATGTGAAAAGTTGTAGGCGTGTGAATACTCCTGCAAGGTCCGGCCTGAGCCCTTCATTTGAAATGGAGTAGGCTCTCGCCAAACACCCTGAAAGTCATTTACTGTACTGAGCTGCCTGACTCTACTGGGAATCCCCTGTAGTACCGCTACAAGAAGAAATTTGAGGAGAGTAAGGGTCACTACCACATGATTCCTGACACACCAGAGCAACTTCATCTCAAGGAGGCCTCTGAGCTTCAGAGCAACGTAAGTGGTACAAACTGTGGGACCAACAAACACCCTGAAAGTATCTTCCAGTTTGTCTGAACTTCCACTCGATACTAGGAATGTCCCGATCTGTATTTATTCTTTTTTGGGGGGTAATTTAAAAGTATAGATATTCCCCGTTTGATAGTGTTACTCCTCTATCCTGCTTACAATGTTTCTACTCTGAAAAGCTAGGCTGAAGTTAGCAACGCTAACACACAATTTGAATACGACTGATTTTTTTTTTAAAATTTTTACTGTTGGTCATGTCTAGACAAAGCGCACAGGAAATGTTTTCCTGCTTCACAAACTTAGTGCTTTTTCATTGAACATAGTAGAATTTAATGACTGGGTGTTTCAGCTGCTCTCTGCGCTGCGCTCAGTTACAGACAGCCATCTGGGTCACTCGAAACAGACTGAGATGAATCTGCAATGTCACTCTAAAGAGGAAAAATGCATGGTCATTGTTCCGGAAGAACCTAGATCCTGTTGAGCACGTCAAACTCAAGGCCCGGGGGCCAAATCTGGCCCGCTGCAGCTTTTTATGTGGCCCTCTAGACTCCAATGTGACACATAAATAGAACAGTCAAGATAACAGCCTGTTTAAATATCAGCCAAATCAAAGCAGTTTTTATCTATTTATTGCCTCCTGCTTCTTGTGAATTCACACAAAACCAACAAATTCCTTTTTCGCGCTGATACATAATTGTGAGTTTGTTGCCATATTTGGATATAAGTGATTGTTTACTCCCACCCGCAGGTGGCGATATTTCTTACTTCTACCAAACAGCTGCTTAAGATTTTCTTGATGTCAAGTTGTAATCCTAAATGATACGGCGAGTCGTAAAAAGCACAAACACTTTGATTTATATTGGGGGGGATCATAAAAACAATCACCAAATCCTTTAGGGATTGAATATTATTTAATTTTAAGATTTTTTAAAAATATTTTAACAGTTTTGTTTAAATAACATTCATGGTTTTGATTTGGCCCAAAAAGAAAATGAGCTTAACATCCCGACTTTAGAGCAATAAAGTAAGGAGCAGTTTGGCTAGGGAGATTGTGCTTACATTATGCTAATAGGGCAGAACAATAACATTCAAAAAGATAAAAAAGGTTTTACATTAGACCCCAATCTAACACTTGGGATTGGATTGGGACAATCCCTACCTCATACATTGGTTTAAATGTGAAACATACACATGCAGATTTGAATGTCCAAGCTTTTAGATGGCAACATTTAAATCAAGCTTATTTTACACTGCGCTCTGTTTGGGCCGTTTCAGGTTAAATACAAGGAGAAGTACGAGAAGGAGAAGGGCAAACCCATGCTGGACTTTGAGACTCCAACTTATGTGACCGCTAAGGAGGCCCAGCACATGCAGAGCCAGGTAAAGACTCTCCTCACCCTCGTGCTGAAAGCAGCTGCCGGCTTCGCTTCAATGACTCCTTCGAGTCTCAATAGATCCAAAATGTAGAGCTCCTTGTTGGCAGCTTAAGCTTTTCGGCTGGTTGTCAACCACAACCTTACAGGAGTTGTTGGGAGTTTTGAAGAATGATTTAGTCACTCCGTTTTGATTTGTAATTACCTTTGTGACACCTAAAAACAATCATTTTTGCATTCATTGTGCTTTCTTTCATAGCTAGCTGAGCTCAGAATATAATTCAGCCAAAAAGTGTTTAAATTTGATGTGCATCTCCAATTGACTTCAGTTATGATGTCAGGAAGTCAACGGTAAAACGGATCTATGGCTTTCCTATGAAGCCTGATGTAAAGACGGACAGCCGGCCCTGACAATACACTATTTAAGCTCAGGTTTCCACTCACCTCCTGGAGTTTCCTTTGAAACTGTCAGTCAAGTTTACAGATGTATAGCTTGAATCATATGTAGTCTTCCTGCAAGTTCTCAGTACTTATTCATTTATGAACATGAAAAGCCATGGCTACGATCTCAAAAAGGTTATTTAATACATGCATAATTTATCCAAAGTGCTATCAATAGATACATTTTGTTATAAAATGCTTGAGGAGTCAAAAAATGTAATATTTTCAGTTGTGGTGTGACGTTTGACAATATTTATCTCACCAGTTTTCAGTCCCAACTACTTCTATTTTACATGTTCATGTTTTTATTTACTCATTACTTTCTATATTGATGATTGACTTTTAATTTTTTTTTAATCGTTAATTGAAACTTGGATGTTATTTTGTGCAACACACAGTTCACATACAGTCAACTATTTGTGAACAGGGAGGATTTGGCCTGCGTATTAGTTGAGCTTCAGTGATTAATTATCGTATTTTTCAGACTATAAGCCGCAACTTTTTTCCCACACTTTGAACCATGCAGCTTTTAGGCCAGTGCGGCTTTTCTGTTGATTTTTCTTCAACCCGCTTTAGCAGGAAGTGAATCATTGGAAGTGAAATTGGAAATCATAGAAGAAAGTGCTAATTTTAATTCAGAACAAGCTCATGCTAGCAGCAGGCATGACGGAGAAATTTCTTCAAACTCATATTATGCCGCTTTTAAGTTAAAGGATATTGATCTGGCAGTACAGGAGGGAATTAGAGCCGCTGTACGTAAACATGTACAAAACCATGGAGGGCAGCGTCCTCACAAATCCAGCAGATTTCTGAGGACGCTGCCCTCTGCTGCCCTCTGTTGGGTCCTTTCAAAACCAAGAGCGGCGGCGATACCAGCGGCTTATAGCCCGGTACGGCTTATAGATGTACGTTTCAAGTTTTTTACAATTATTTTTATTGTAAGTGCGGCTTATAGTACAGCGTGGTATATATGAACTTATGTGTTTAGATTTCTGTCAAGCGTTGGACCAGAAAGGCTAAAAAATCTCTGTTTTGGCGACGGTGCTGTCACTGCACTTCAGCCCTGCTCTGCCTGCATGTGTTTGAGCTCTGTCTGTCTGTCTGTGTCTTTATGGCCAATAGAAAGACTATAAGAAGGACTATGAGGAGTTCATGAGGGGAAAGAACCTCTCAGGCTTGGAGGTCACCCCTGCCATGATTCATGTCAGACACGCCACCAAAATAGCCAGCGAGGTAACAGAAGGATGGTTTATCCCGTTAATTTGCCCCCTTCTTCCTCATCATTACTAAGACTGTATCACAACCGAAGTCCCTCTCTACTTTCACACCTTTCACCCTCTGAGTTTTCCTTTTCAGGGGTTTTATTGCTTTCATTTTTTTTAAAGATGCTTGCTCGTTTGACCCAACATCTCCCCACCCCGCTGCATGCTTTACAGAGAAGTTAGTGCTGCATCCACTGACGTCTAAAGCTCCTCTTTATGCAGCAGCAGCATCCTGTATGAGTGCATGTCACAGTTTTATTAAAGAGGTGATGTTTTCTGTGAAATGCTGTTTTCAAACTATGTTACGTGTTTTATTAGGGCTGGGCGATATGGCTTCAAAATAAAAGATCTGATGTGTCTGATATATATTTACATATATATATATATATATATATATATATATATATATATATATATATATATATATATATATATATATATATATATATATATATATACCAGATCTCATTTTAAGTTTTTTTTCTCTTGGAAAAAAATATTTTTCAATCTTTTATTTCAATCATCATTTCTGAGCAAGAGGGCCAGGCTATGATATATATATATATTTTAATTGCAACAATGTAGTCTTAATATTAACAGAATAAAGATTTTATTAGGAAAATGTCTTAAAATTATGTGGAAAAAAATTTAATAATAAAAAAACTTGTTTTCCTACAACCATATTATTTTCATGTTATGGCTTTATTATTGTAATACAAATCATTAAGGACATCTTACCCTGACTGCTACATTTGGTCATGGAGTGGACTCAAATTCAAAGTCCAAACTAAAATATAAGTTGCAGACAAGATGATGATATCACTTTGAACTTTTTTTTGTTTTAAATTAGTGGGGAAAAAAGAATGAAATCCAGGTTTTTCCCAGAAATTAAAACTTCAAAAATGAATTTTTTAGATGAATTTATCTCCCAGCCCTATGTTTTATCCTGTAAAATTTGTTTCATCTTGTCTATCTCCAGGATTCTTGCCAAAGTCAACAACATCTCCACTGAAAATGTTTCTCTCTGTAATAATATAAGTGTCTTATTTTTTTAGTTGTTGTTGAGATATTGGTGACTTTGAGCCTTGATTGTCCGTATGCTTCGGCCTTGCCTGCCTGTGCGGCCGTCTCTGCAGTCTCTCTTGTCTTTCTTCCATGGTGTAGAAAGAGTACAGGAAGGATCTAGAGGAGGGAGTGAAGGGTAAAGGGCTAACTGTACTGGAGGAAACTCCGGAGCTTTTGAGGGCAAAGAATGCCACTCAGATCCTGTGTGAGGTACGACTGACCGAGAGGTGATGGCGGTGGCGTCACGCTCTCCTCTGACTTCCCCTAACACTCCCCCCATCCTGCTCTCACCTCAGCTGCATCGCCTCACTTCCTGCTTTTTGACAAGACTAATGTTCCACTGCTCCTTAGTTTGGAAGAATTTTCCTCAAATCTTGTCTCCCCCCGCAATTTTACATCTTATTTTATGTCACTTTGTATAAAAAAACTTGACTGTTTAAAAAAAAAAAAAAAAAGGTCACATCTGAGCTAACTTTCTTTAAGAAAATAAACATGTTCGTTTTGGTGTAGTTAAACTCAAATTTGTAGAAATTTGTTTGGTTGTATTTGAAATTATCTCAACAAAGAACTAATTGTGATGCAACATCCTCTTGACTATCTTAACTCTTTTTTTCATTTAGCATCTTTATTGGAGCGCCACACCTTCCTCTCTCCCATGTTTCCCCTAAATCCTGTCGCTAATTCCTGCTAACCTCCTCTGTTCCCGTCCCCCTAGGGGTTTTGCGGCCTTCCTCAGTATGAAAGCGCAATTAGTTTTCAGTGCGTCTGTTTGGTGAGTAACAAAGCTGCCGCTTGCATTTACAGAGAGAGTACAAGAAGGCACTGGAGCAGGAGATCAAGGGCAAAGGAATGCTGGCTTTGGCGACCGACACTCCGGACTTTATGCGAGCCAGGAACGCCACCGAAATCCTCAGCCAGGTCTGTTCTGAGTAACATCTGCTGAATGCGTTCAAAAATATAAATACCTTTCCCGATTGTGTCACTGTAATGTGACACAATCAGTGTATTTGATTGAGAGTTTGTCTTTAAAAATAAATAACACAAAGTAATGCATAATTGTGAGATGGAAGGATTTGAGCTTCTTTTCCAAATATAAACCTGAAAGGATTTGGAGTGTGTGTGTTTACAGCCTTGTTTGCGCTCATATTTGCACATTAAAACAAGTGAAACCAGTCATCTGTGTTTATTAACCAGGTTATTATAATTTATTAATTAAATATGCAAACATTCTTCAGAATTAGAATTCATAATTAATGATAAATATCAACTATAAACTAGTATTTCTAGTTTATTTACTAAATAAATTGTAATATTTTTGAAAAAATATTTATTTTAATCAAGTCAACACATTGTATACATCATTTCACATAGACGGATGTCTTCAAGTCTTTGTTGTTAATTCTGATGATTTTTCTGCTTGCTCACTTCACCCCTACCTTGACACATGGTAGTGGCAGCAGAAGGCTGTGGGTTCACCGCGCTTTAGCAAAGACAGGGAGGATGGTCAGAGTTGTTAAGACAGACTGAGCTAAAATGTTAAATTATGACGATTGATTGTCTCTTAATTGTTGAACAATTAAAAGACTTGAGACTGAGGCGGATGTCCACCTTCCAGTGTGTCCACACAGTCCGACCTCAAGCCGAGTAAATTTGTTGAAGGAGATTTAAGTTGCTACAATAACCTGAGCAAAGTCCACACTTTAATCTAGTTGGGAGTCTGAGGCAAAACGCCGTCCCATCGGATTGAGCTCGAGCTATTTCGCAAAGAAGAACGGGTAAAAATACAAATTCCCCGTTTAATCCCTTCCAATTATTGTTCAAAACCCTTTTCATTTTGCTTTCACTTCACAGTTATGCCCTTCTGAAATTTGTTTGGTCATATTTGAAATCATCTCTGCCCTTTTGATGCAACTTCTGTTGGTCTGATTGAAAGAAAATATATTACAGGTTAGAGTGTTACTGTGACAAAATCTGTTATCGTTCAACAGACACCGATACTTTTGTAAAACGCTTGATCCAAGACATGCACACCGAAATCTGGTGTTTTCAGTCCTCCTTAAAAGTTTCTGTTCTGCAGACTAAGTACAAGCAGATCGCCGAGATGGACCGAGCCAGCTACACTACCGTCATCGACACGCCGGACATCATCCACGCTCAACAGATGAGGAACATCGTCAGCCAGGTACGCTGCCGCCGAAACGAGTCTGTTTTAAACCCCTCCTTCCTCCCTGGCATGCCTTTCATTCTGCTCGTGTTGTCGAAACAGAAAAAATACAAAGAGGAAGCTGAGAAGACGATGTCTCACTACGTGCCGGTCCTGGACACTCCAGAGATGCAGAGAGTCCGTGAGAACCAGAGGAACTTCAGCACTGTAAGTTGCAGAAGACGCCCTCCGTCCGCTCAGTCACTCTTACATCCAGTGATTCCGCATCGGGTTTGTAAAGAGATGTGAAGATATTTTAGATCCTTTTATGCTTTTTTGTTTCTCAAAGTCCTCTTGCGTGTTGTTCGCTTTGTTAATCGGTCCCATAGAAACAGTGTTATTTTCTACTGTTTTCTGCTGTGAAACGTTTTAACCTCACCGTTTTCCCTTCTTCTTATAGCTTCAATACCAGATTGACCTAAAAAACACAAAGGGCAAAGTGTTTACTGTTAAGGACACTCCAGAAATGCTCCGTGTTAAAGAAAATACAAAGAATTTCAGCTTGGTATTTATTCCGTGATAGTTGCTTTTTTCTTTCTTTTCTTTTTACCATTTTTGATAACCCACTTTTACATCTTTAATCTTTTTTGGGTTTGTCTTTCCTCATTTTAACAAACTCTGACATGAAACTCCCATCTCTTCATGGAACGAGTAATTAAGCCACTCTTTGTAAAAATACAGCAACTAAAATGCTCCTGTAGACTAACGCTTGAAGCCGCTAGTGCCGAGCCTGTGTGTCTCCATTTGGGATATTTGTGTTTTGTTGTGTGCTTTGAATTCGCTTTTCCGTTTTTTGTTGGGGGGTTTTTTTTGTTGTTTTTTTTGTATGTCGGCGTGTGCTGTCAATGTTTTTGCTTTTTCTCTTTGCTTAAATCAGAGATAATTTAGAGTCAGATGGAAGATCAGGCTAACCCCTCGTTCATGCTTCTCGTCCCACATCCTCACAAAGATTCATTACAAAGAAGACGTGGGCGGAGGGACGGCTCTGCCTGAGACCCCTGAGATGGAGAGAGTAAAACGCAACCAGCGCAACATTAGCACGGTATTCCCAACGAGTGGCCCTGCCCCCCCTCCGTCTCCTCAGTTCTCCATCCATGCTCCCTCATTGTCGAGCAACTGGGAATAAGACTTGAACTGACTTCATCTTTAATATCTTCCCATGAGCATTTCCAGTTCAGCTTTTCATTTGAAGCTAATTTCTAGCGGTTCTTTTTGGAGATTTGTTGGCTTCGTCCTAATCGGAGGATGAAGCTAATGAGATAATCTGGCAAAAAGTCAAGCACAGCAGTTTTCTGGCCATAAGTTTGAATACTCAGGAACTGGATAAATTGCTTTGAATTTATGTCGGGTTCCTTATTTACTTTAACAAGGACGTGCAGCACCTGCCACATTTACTGGTACCCTGATTAAAAAAAGGATTTCAGTTTTATTTTATTGCTGCAGCACTTTAATCTCTCAACAAAAAAAGTTTAATCTAACTTTCATTTACAGTTTATTTATACTGTGTGAAAAATATATTCAGAAAAGGTTTGTTTTTACCTAAAATGTCGGCGGCAGAGATATCGGGGTACATTTAATAATATCTTTTGACATAAATGTAACTGGAGCATGTTTTTATTCTATAGTTTTTAATTTAATTTGATCAAGGTATAAATCCGTAAACGTAGAGCTCTGGAACAAATTAAGAGAGCACTTAAAATGGTCAGTTTCTCTGATCTTACTCTTTATAGGTCTATGTTTGAGTAAAATTAATTTGGTTCTTTTGTTCTGTGAACTACTGACAACACGTCTCTGAAATTCCAGGCAAATATTTTGTATGTATTTGCAAAAAATGTGAAACGGTGAAAATAACGATGAAGATGCAGAGCTTTTAGACCTCAAACAACGCAAAAGATACAAGCTCATTTAGAAACAGCACATTTTTACCAGAAGTGCCGATAAGTGTCACGATTTGCAGGGACTCAACTATCACATAATTTCTACCCATGAATTAACATTTTCATCACCTGCAGGAACTTTGGTGGCGTTGCTACTAAATTTCATTAACGTCAGGTGGAAAGTCAGTGATTTAACCGTTTTTCGTTATCCATAGTTCTTGTGTTTGAATAAGAATGAACGTGGACGGTCGCAGGATGCTATCTCACGCTGTACCTTTGTGACGTTTGCAATGGGCAGATACAATACAAGGAGTCTGTGGGTCAAGGCACAACCATACCAGACCTGCCCGAGGTGAAGCGGGTCCGAGAAACCCAGAAGAATATCAGTCTGGTAGAGGAAAACCACTGCAGTGACCCTCCTCCTGATTATCATCCCTCACAAAAAAAATCAAAAATCACTTTTGCTTTCTAGAGTTGATTTTTCCTCCTCCATCTTAACTATGTTCCATATATCATTCCTTCTTTTCCTACCAGAAATGATTTCAAACTTAATTTAAAAAAAAACAACATTGTTCCCCCCCCCGTTATTTTCCCGTCTGGTTTTTGATGTTCTTCCTCTCCTCCCGATCTGAACACTAACCTCCCGCCGGGTCGCGCCGCCGCCGTGTGTGACTGTTCCTGTGCTGTGTCGTTCAAGCATCGTTACAAAGAAGGAGTGGGACAGGGCACGTCCGTGCCGGAGACGCCGGAGATGGAGCGAGTCAAACGCAATCAGCAGAACATTAGCACGGTACCTTACAGAACCCGACCCGCTAGGTTCCCTTCATCCGCCTGCCCACCTGCCTCACTCTTCACCCCCCTCACCCCCGAACACCTTTCTCTCTCCTGTTCCTTTGTATCTCCACCTGAATCTCCTCTAGTCATCCAGACGTCGAGAACTGACTCATCAAACCCTCTGATACCCGCAAGTTTACATGAACTAATCATGGATGTCATGTGACTGCTGCAGTTTAAATCCTGCATTTGAGTCTTTTGAACAGATTCAGATGATTGTCCGATCTACGTCTTCAGTGATTGTGGTTTAAAAAAACCAATAAATTCCTCAATTTTGCCTTAAGTCAACTTGAGGTTAAATTTGACCAGACTCAAATTTAATTTCAAATTAGAGCCTGGTCAAATTTAACCTTGGACTTCAAACTTGGACACAAGAGTGTTTCCAAGGTGAGACTAAAATTCCCCTACACTTAAAATCAAAGACTGCGCTGGGATGCTAGATACAATTTTTCTCGACATTCTCCTTTTTAATTTCTTTAATTTTTTGCTGTGTCTGTTTGTCTCTGCTTCATTGTTTTGTTGTTGGTCTTCTGTATCTGTGTGTGTGTGTGTTTTTCTTTCATAGTTATTCTTTTTTTCTTCTGTCCCTGCATACAACCCTTCAATATTTGTCTGCCAGATAAAATACAAGGACTCTCTGGGTCGAGGCACGGCCATACCGGACCTGCCCGAGGTGAAGCGGGTCAGAGAAACCCAGAGGCACATCAGCTCGGTAGTGGACCGAAGCCGACCCCCCCGTGTGCTCCTAACCTTTTGAGCGTAGATAGTAGTTTCCATCATGACTCTCCTCCACCTCATTGCATCCATCTTTATTTAAGGCTCAGTCTGCAGATTCTTGAGCTCCTGAATGACCTCATTTTGCTGTAATTTCCATCTTTCTCTCTCCTGTTCCTTTGTATCACGTGTGTCAAACTCGAGGCGCATGGGCCAAATCTGGCCCGCCACAGCTTTTTTTATGTGGCCCTCTAGATTCTGGACTCAATACAAAGTGTGTGTAAATATGATGTTATCAGTCAAATCAGTGCAGTTTTTATCTGTTTACTGCCAAATTACGTAAAACAATCCCTCCAGTTATTTGAGAATGTTGTGGAAATTCACACAAAATCAACAAATACCAGCACTTTTTTAAAAATTAAAATTGGGAATTTATTCTAGCTTTTTCTTAAACATTGTCAAAAACTTCCTTACTTGTACTAAGCAGCTCTCTCTGCCTTATTTGATGTCAGATTATAATCCATGATCCATATTATAGACGCATCATGATCCATACAGTGAGAAGAAGTCATGTTTACCATCTTATAAATAAGAGCAAATATCACAAATATTTCCATATCAGTGCCATAAACACTTTGATTTTTATTCTAAAAAGTCAGAAAAATCCTGCAGGGACTGAAAAGATGTTCAATAATATTATTTAATTTTAAGAATTCATTGACATTTTAACAGTGTGTGATCAGATTGTATCAATACATTCTGTCACAACCGGCCCTTTAAGAGCACTCATGATCTTGATTTGGCCCCAAACCAAAATGAGTTTGACACCGCTGCTTTTTATCCTTTAATCTTCTTCATCATTCCTGCCTCTTTGGCCTTTATTAATACAATATTTCCTAACCTGCAGCTAAGCTTTTTTTCCCTCCATGATCGACTTTTAACATTCCAGCAAAATGAGAATCTAAATTCTTATTGATTGTATGGTTTTTTTTTCGTTATTATTATTCCCACAGCCGACATCCTCCTGAGAAGCATTCTGGTTTTCTCTCTCGTTTGTAACGAGTTCGAGCTCGAAGAGACCACGGTGTCTGTGAGCTCCAGCGGGTGTGTTAAGAGTTTTCTGATGTGCTTCTTGTCCTGTAGGTGTTGTATAAGGACAGTTCTGCCAAGGGAACGCCCGTGGTCTTTACTCCTGAGATGGAGCGGGTCAAAAGGAACCAGGAAAACATTAGCTCGGTACCTTCCAGAACCCCCTCTCTGAGAAAACCTTTTAACCTTTTCCTAACCGAGCCCACTTCACCTTCACCCTTTTTTGCTTTAGTTAATCTCATTAATTTTCCCCACTGCACTTTTCTCCGAATACGTTTAATCCATAACCTCTTTTGTCCTCCAGACTGCTCCGTTTCATCTTTTTTTATGTGCCCGCAAAAAAAATTGAAGCATAACGCTGTTTTTCTTCCTAACTCTTCATCTCCTAATAATAATAATAATAGTAGTAAAAGAAAAGAGAAATCTCTCTTGCTAATTCATTTGTCTGATTTCCCAGTAATCCTCTGACCTTTGTGCGTCCGCTCTCGATGCGTTCGCGGAGCTGGGATTCCTGACCTTGGCCCGCTGTGCTCCTCCTCTTCCAGGTGCTGTACTCGGACAGCTTCCGCCGGCAGGTGCAGGGCAAGGCCGCCTTCGTTCTGGACACGCCCGAGATGAGGCGCGTCAGAGAGACGCAGCGCATCATCTCCGGAGTAAGATCTTCTTCCTATTTTCTATTAAGTGGAGTTAGAGTGGAACCAGCTGTTCGGTGATGGAGCCAACGAACCGAGTCGTCGCAGATATTTACTTTATTCTCATGAATAAATGCACACAGATTATCAGTGCTAACAGGAAACCAGACCCTGAACAGGAAGTAAGATCTGAACGTATAAACATCGTTTATTGCACTCATCCAGTCCAATGCTTTTTTTTTTTACATTTATTTTTTGGTATTTTCATTGGTGTTACATTTGAATAAAAAAACACAACTAGATTAGATTAGAGTTAAAAGTAAGTTATTCTGAACATTTCTTTATCTTCTTACACAAGCTCCTTCAGACTGGATGGGAAATCAGAATCAGTGTTCTAGTTTTGCTAGTTTCCAGTTTGGTCTTTGGTCGTTTTCACCAAATGAATCCAGTATTAGCTGGGCCTTTACAGCATGACGCTGCCGCCACCATCTCTGACCTTGTGGGCGTGGTGTGTTCAAGGTAATGCGCAGTTTTAGTTTTCCCACCACACAAAGAGCTTTGCATGCATGTCAAAGCGTTTAACACTGGTCTCATCTGGACTGACCTTACAGGATTTTATTTGTCAATAAAGTGAATCTTTTTCCTTCTATTTTTTAGTTAAAAAAACATTTTTAAAAAATCATAGAATAAATTTAGGTTTGAAGAGCTAGGATCATAAAACAAAACGCTTAACTCGCAAATAAGTTTGATTTGACTCCTGCAGGTAAAATACCACGAGGACTTTGAGAAGAGCAAAGGCAGCTTCACCCCCACGACCTCTGACCCCGTGACAGAGCGCGTCAAGAAGAATACGCAGGACTTCAGCGACATCAGCTACCGTGGCATCCAGCGGCGCGTGGTGGAGATGGAGAGGAGACGCGCCATGGAGCACGACCAGGAGACCATCACCGGTACGGAGAGCTCAACGCCAGGATGGAAATGATTTCAATATTTAAAGCTCATAAGCTAACGTAAATGTTTGGATTGTCTCTAGCTCCCTAGGTTTACTGAGCAGTGTCTATTTGTTTTTTGAAAATAGACTAACTTCTGTTCTTAGTGTCAAATACGCAGGTTTCTTTTTTTTATTACCCTCTCTGTGACAAACAGAGAGGGTTTGTCAGTTCTGTGTTGGCTCTAATGTCGAGCTGTGTGTGTTTGTGTGCTTGTATGCAACCTGTAGACCATTTTCATCAACAAATGGAGCTCTTTTGTGAAACATGAGGACATTTTCCTGATCTTCACGTTTTTCCAAGTGGAATGTAATCAAATAAGAAGGATTGTTTGTCTATTAACACAGGGGCGGGTCTTTAAATTATATGAGAAATCCGATGGTAGGTGGTGATGAGAAGCTGTTGAGTGGCTGAACCAGAGCGGGGAACCGGTGGGAAGGCAATGCGATGGACGGCGGTGGTGAAACGGGGAGACGATGAACCATGAGCTGGGAGGGAACAGCGACAGAGATCAGTGCGGCGAGAGTGTGGCGGGCCAATGCTGGGGCCCGAGGCGAAGAAATGTTGACAGGGGGATTAAGAAAACAACCAACAATTCCAGAACAACCAGTAACTGAAGAACAACCGGTTAGAGCAAGGCACCAGTTTTAGCAGACCAATCAGAGGAATTAGAAGGTCCATGATGTTCCCTTGTGGTACGTCATCTTTAAAACGATACCTACCCTCTTACTGAGTTTTCCCAGTACTGATTGTGGTTCCTGGTTGTCCTCCTGTTCTTTTTGAGCCAGCCTTTCTCTAAGCAGGACATTTTCAATCACCAAATGTCCTGGATTGCTTGAAAAGGTCGTCCCTCTATCCAGACTGGGTGTCCATCTTCATCTCTGCCCTTTTCAGGTCTATCAGAAGCTCCTGGATTTTTAGCCTGAGACACTGATGACCGACTGATAAAAAATGCATTTCATTTTTCTCGTCCTTGTATTTGCGCTCTGTCTCAAGAAGCTCCTCCCAAACCGACACGAGCTGGTCACGGAGCGCATTGCTTTGTCTTTCCAATATATCATATCACTTGCGCGAGACTCTGAGCGCTTGATCTTAGATCAGACAGAGGAAATGCTGTTTTTGATTTTGGGGTAAAGTTTCGGTGTGAATTGAGTTTTGGTTTGGGTTCTGCTGTAGAAATGATTTGAAGTCAATGGAAAGTCTCTGCAAAGACAGCGAGACAAACGTGTTTGCGTGTGTGTGTGTGTGTGTATGTGTGCGTGTATGTGTGTATGTGTGTGTGTGTGTGTATGTGTGTATGCGTGTGTGTGTGTGCGTGCGTGTGTGTGTGTGTGTGTGTGTGTGTGTGTGTGTGTGTGTGTGTGTGTGTGTGTGTGTGTGTGTGTGTGTGTGTGTGTGTGTGTGTGTATGTGTGTGTGTGTGTATGTGTGTGTGTGTGTGTGTGTGTGTAGATCTGCGGGTGTGGCGCACCAACCCCGGCTCCGTGTTCGACTACGACCCAGCAGAGGACAACATCCAGTCCAGGAGTTTGCACATGATGTCAGGTGAGATTCTCATCCAGAGAGGAAAACTTTCTAAACTGGTTCATCGAAAAAAGACGGAGGTTTGGATTTATAAAACAAGAAAAAAAAACTTAACCTGGAAAGTAAAAAATTGATTAGTATTGGTGATTTTCCAGATATGCAAAAAGAAGAAATTATGTTTTTATTTCTTCCTTTCTTTCTTTCTTGTGTACTTTATTGTTTCTGTCTTTCTGCTCTCATACCTTCCTTCATTTCTACTTTTTCTTGCTTTGTGCCCTCGTTTACTTTCACTTCATCCTTGTCTTACCTTTTCTGTTTTTTCTTCCTCTCCATCATTCTTTCCTCCCTCCTCACCATTTTTTCTTCCCTGTGTCCTTTCTTTCTTTCTTTTCTTGATTTATTTCCTGGTATTTGTCCTTTTTATTTCTCTCCTTGTGTCTGTAATACCTGCTATTCTGTGTCCTTTAAATTTTCTTCTTTATGTCTTTCCTTTGATCACTTTTTACGATTCATTCGTTCCTCTTTTATCTTTGCTTTTTTTTGTTCTCTCCTTCCTTCTTTGTGTCCTTCCTTTCCTTTTTTGTTGATTGATTTGTTCTTTGGTCTGTTTTCTATTTTCACTGCTCCATAAACTCTTTAATTTTAGAAACATCAAATATATGGTGAACGTTTTGATTTTATATTTCTTAATTGAATACACACACACAAAAAATCACCTTTAAATAGCTAAGTTGAGAAAAGTGGAAAAGTAAAACTTATAAAAATAGGAACCGTAAAATATATCTCATGAAAAATACGGTAATCTAAAGTGTCTCTTACTAAATATACCTGAAGTCGGTCTTTCCTTGTAAAGCAAACATAAATACAAAAGAATGTAAAAGTTCATTTGTGAATAGCTTGCTGTTGGTCTAAATGTCTGTTTCAAATGTCCTGTTCGTTTCGCCCGTTCTGACCTGGTTTCCTCCGACCCGACAGTACAAGCACAGCGCCGCAGCAAGGAGCACTCGCGCTCCACCAGCGCCCTGAGCGGCATGGCCGACGAGAAGTCTGAGGTGTCGCAGGACGTCGACCACCACCTGTCTCTCTACAGCAACGGCTTCATGGCCAGCTCAACGGGTCACAATCAAACGAGACACTTTAGCCGTTTTCGGTTTTGAGCTTTATTTGTGCTGCGAATGTCCCTTACCCGGCCGTTTGTCGGATGTCTGCAGGCTACCAGCAGACCAGGACTGTGGAGGTGCAGCAGAGGTCATCGTCCGTGGCCACCCAGCAGACCACCGTCTCCTCCGTCCCATCACATCCGTCCACCACTGGGGTCAGTAGGACACAGTCATCTCATGTCATTTAAGTGATTTTTAAAGAATAAGAATTAAATATATGTTGAAATTATTCTAGGCATTAACCCATCGTCTATTCTGACAATAAATCTGATCAAAATTTGTTTACTAACATCAACATCTATATTTGACTTATCAATAGAGTGTTTGGGTGATCTGTTGACTATAATTTGGATTAACTAAGAAGAGCAAAAAATGCTTAATAGGTTTTTATTTTTATTTTTTGACAGTAATTTGAACCGTGTGAATTTAGTCCAGTTGAGTTTTGGGTTGAACAAACAACTATTTTTTTTCATTTTAATTGCTAAATGTAGATATTTTTGTACAGTTTCTACTTAATTCTTGCTGAGTCTTGTTCTTTCAACAAGAGACATTTTTGAATCTGCATATGATTAATCGATTACTAAATTAGTTTGCAATTATTTCAAAAATCGTCTTCCTACATCAGACTCTTCTCAAACCCCTCCGTCTCTTTGCTCCCTTCAGAAAACCGTGCGCGCCATGTACGACTACGTGGCGGCAGACAGCGACGAGGTGTCGTTCAAAGACGGCGACGTCATCGTCAACGTGCAGTCCATCGACGAGGGCTGGATGTACGGCACCGTGCAGCGCACCGGCAAGACCGGCATGCTGCCCGCCAACTACGTGGAAGCCATCTGAGAGACAAAGCCCGCCCATCGTCCCTCCAGAGTGGGCGAGACCCATCCACAGGGCAAGCTGACCGGTCTTCCTGCCTTCCCAACCGTAGCGTAGTGCACTCTGTAGCTTTTCACCGTCTTGTTGCTCTTCAACAGTATTTGAATTGTGCTGTGCTTCTCGTTAAGTCTGTTGCCGTGCTTCCTGTGGATGTGACATAAGCTTCATGACGTGACGTTCAACACCGGTTTCACACAACACGCCTACTATAGATGACAGACTGTTTCAGATCGTTCCAAGACCCCGCTGCGGGGAAACAACGACTCGCTAGCAGACAACCTGACCCCCACTGTTTTGTACATTTTAACGATTTGATACCGTAATTTAATGTCCCGTTTTTGTCCAAGCCGCCGTTTAACTTCTGAGAACTCTGGACTGAACCCAGTAATGACTAAGATCTGAATGAGTTTAATGAATCAGAGTTAGTTGTGCCACTCACATCCTCCACGATCAAACCACTCCAAAAGAGTTGTATGAATTAAGCCTTCTTTTAAAATGAAGGCTGGCTGTTAGCATTTTATGTGTGTTTTGTTTCTTCCGATTATTTGGGTCCTGACTGAAGGCCGACCTCTACGTTTAATCAGTAGTTAATAAAACACACAACCTCCTGCAACATTCTGCCTCCTTTTCTTTTGTATCCATCACTTTTGTTTATTTACATGCAAACATTTGGTGACTAGATATTGATAGCTGACAAAAAAAAACCCTATCGTGGTTTTACCGACTTTAGAAATACTTGAATATACAGCACTGAAATGTAAAAAAAACCCCACAAATTTATCTGGATTTATGTATAAATCAAGGCTTTTATTGCCGTATTATTCAGTGTGGACAATTCCAATGTTAAGATTCAATAGTTTCCATCAATCAACACAAGTATTGATGCCCAACCTGTTCATGATTTGTACATACAAATTTTGCCAGTAGGTTTACGCCCTAATTCGGTGGTGCCCAAAGTCGGTGGTGCCCAAAGTCGGTCCTATAGGTGATGAAGAAAATATCCAAGGTGACAGGGTTTTTTAAAACTCATATTGGACATGGAACAGAATCATCGTCTCTCCCCGCTTCTCAAGACCTTAGCCTGGCTAACAGGGTTCTATGGTCCACCAGAACCTGGATCTCTGACTGATCCGGTGCCCAAGGAGTCAGAGGTGGCGGAAGGACAATGATGACCACGGATAATCCGTACAGTACTGATCCTGCTCTTTGGGTAAAAACTGATGACTTTGTGTGAGCTTACTGGGCTGAGCAAGAAGCAGGGAATATGGATGTTAATTTTAAAGCATCAGAACGACGAACGATCGAAGGAGGGGGTGAAACCGTTAGTCCGGGGTGGGAGAGGCTCAAGATTGGCCAGAAAACTGTAATTGGCGCACTCCAAGTGTACATTTTATTATATTTGTCAGAATTCATCCAAATTACTCAATGTTGTTTGTCAAAGAGGTATTTGCAACTGGTGAGACGCTGATGAGAAAGGTGATGTGCTGCTGTAAGGTAATTTAGAAGTGTTTTGTGAAAAGCACATTTATAACATGAAACTGTTTCTGTGTTAAACTCGAGTATCATTTTGTTTAGAGTTTTTCTGGGTTTAAACCCTAAAGGAGGTCGACTGAAATGGCGCAGCGCCAGGAGGTCAAGAACAACCAGCAATTGAAGAACAAACAGTTAACCAGAACAACTAGTAACTAAAGCACAACAAGCATTTCAAGAACTACCAGCTAGAACAAGAGTAACTCAAGAGCAACGAATAATTCAAGAATCACCAAAAACCAGTAATTCCAAGAACAACCAGTTAACCAGAACAACCAGCAATTACAGAACAACCTGTAAACCCCAACAACCAGCAATTCGAGAACAGCCGGTTAGAGGAAGGAACCAGTTTTACCAGACCAACCTGAGGAATTCAAGCTCTATGAGGGAACACATTATCTTAGTGTTCCCTTGTGGTACATCGTCTTTAAAACGGTACCTACACTTCCAAATTTTCCCAGCCTGATTGTGGTTTCTGGTTGTCCTCATTCCTTTTTGAGCAGCCTTTCTCTAAGCAGGTCCTTTTCAAACATCAAATCCATGTTCTCCCTGCTTATGTTCTGGATTTCTTGACAAGCTCTCTCATATTTGGAAGTAAGAAGGTTATTTCCTCCCAAAGGTCGTCCCTCTCCATACTGGGTGTCCATCCTCCTCTCTGGCCTTCTCAGGTCTATCTTGAGGTGGATTTTTAGCTTGAGACGTTAATTCCAAAAAAAATGCATTTCATTTCTCTCGTCCTTGCATTTTGAGCTCTCCCTCATCAAGCTCCTCACGAATCGACATTAGCTGGGCACAGAGTGCATTGTTTCGTGTTTCCAGTGTGTCATATTGTGCTTGTATGTCTGGTTTCCTTTAAGCACTTGCACAAGACTTGGAGCACTTGATCTTAGATCTGAGACATTCCACAATCTGTTTCAGTCCTCAATTTTCCTTCTCCAGTGTCCGTCCTCTTTTCAAAAGTTCGAGGATTGTCAAACTTGTCCATCACAGGTGTGTTGGTCCTTTCTTCAGCCATTTTTGCTGTACAGTCAAGATTGTTGGTATGTAAAATCCAATATTGTTCTTCTGACATGGAACACAAATGAGTTGCTCTGTGGAAGTAGGGATTGAAGGGAAATGGATCACAGTCATCAGTGATGTCGTAGAGCAGTGGTTCCCAACACGCGTAGCGATACCGGTCCGTGAACCAATTGGTACCGGGCCGCGCAAGAAATTATTAAATATTTCCGTTTCACGTATTATTTGAGTCTGGTGGATATTTTATTTTGAAAATCCTTTAAGCAGATACTCATGGTTATATCTTGCACGTCAACATTGAGCCACAAGCAGCAAAATGAGTAAGAAACAGATCAGATTAGATACCTTGGTGAACCAATGACCTAATAAACTGTCTCAACTTCAAAGAAAAGAACTGAAAATTATTGAAAAAATGTCTTTAATTAAAATGTGAGCATCTGAGAACATTTCCTATGACAGAAACAGAAGCACTAAATGAATACAAAAACCTTTTTTAGCTTGTAAACTCTGTCCCATCAGTGCATAAGGTGGACTGGTAAAATGTTCTGATAAGGCAGGTGGGTTGGTGAAATCAAGGACGTGTAATAATTAATGCTGTAATTAGTAAGAGTGTGTAAACGTAGAGAGCGGCTGATTAGAGCGTGGTGACGGGATAGTCCTGAACGTTTCCCCGCCGGATGTCGTCATGAAGGAGTTAGAGGGCATTCAGGTCACAGGCGAGGCCTCCGTCTTGATCAAATATCAGACAATTCATCGTTGTCACACAGTCAGCTGGTCCCTCGCTGCAGCGTGAGCAAACCCGCCCGTTGCTGGTACTGGTTCCGTTTAGCCTGTGCGATTCTTTCTGTCAGGTCGGCCGGCTTCTCGAAGAAGTTGACCAGCGCCTGCTCGGTGAGCAGCGAGGCCAGGATCTGAGCGTAGCTCACCGTCCACTCGTCGTCGGCCGCCAGAGCCCCGTCGGACGCCGCCGTGGGTTTGGTCTGTTCGCGGTGACCGGCCTCACCGATCTGCAGCACGAGGCTGGTTACCGTAGCGATAGCCTGGAAGAGGTCATTCTCCTCCGGGTCGCCGTGGAACATGCTGTAGAGCGTCTTGCAGAACTGGATGAACTCTCGCTGGGAAACGAGAGCAGAGGTTAGATTTTAATACAGGGTAACATGTTGTTAGTATGTAGTAATTACTTAGATTTACTAAAGTTTTTATTGGCTTCGTAGTAAAACTTTCAGCTTTATATTGGAATAAATGGAGTTTGAAAAACAATTTATTTTTGCCTGATTTTGTTACTTTGTAATTTTGTTATTCATGTGAATTTTCATTTTGGTTTTTAAATACCAAAATTTCCAAAAATTTTATATTTTCCATATTATGATGCAATATTAAATGATTTATGTTTTGATTAGTCTGATCAAAGATACTTTCGTAATTTTACAAACATAGTTGAAAAAAGTTTTTTAGCTCTTTTTTTAACAATGACCTTTTTGCTCTTACTTAAGTCATTTCTCAGACAAATGCTTTTTATTTTAACTTGAGTGAATTTCTGTAAGCAAGTAGCTTCCACATTAGCAAAGGAACAGAACTAAGTTCAGGCTGTGCACGTCCTTAAAAAGTCTTAGATTTGCATGTCCTAATTTCATTTGAAAAATATAAGTGGACCCGGGGAAGACCCAGGACACGCTGGAGCGACTATGTCTCTCAGTTTGCCTGGGAACGCCTTGAGGAAGAGCTGGAAGAAGTGGCTGGGGAGAGGGAAGTCTGGGCCTCCCTTCTGAAGCTGCTACCCCCGCGACCCGACCCCGGATAAGCAGAAGATGGGTGGATGGATGGAAGTTGACCTTTAATGCATTAGTCACAGGTCTTAAATTTCACATTGCTTTTTTCTGTTATGCAAAAGTTTTGAGTTGCACAGAAACATCCTCGCTGCTTTCTGTGACTCGAGGCCATGGCTAGCGGTGGCATGGTGGACAGAAGTCTAAAATGATAACAGATGCTGTTAGCAGCTCTGGTTTTCAGCACCTGATTCATCAGTGGCAGAGGCTTGTCTGCGTCTTTCTCCTTCTCCTTGACCAGATCCTGTAGCATCTGCTTCAGCTGCTCCTGGTAGTCTTTCACTACTTCTTCACTTTCTGAAACTTCCAGAGCAGATGTAATCAGATCAGGATTATAAAAGAATGCATACTGTATTTTAAAGAGACTTCGAGGGACATGTGTGTTTCAGTGAACCTGGAGTCTCTTTGTTCACGTAGAGGGGCCTGCTGGTGGACAGCAGGGGGCTCTTGAGGGACGGTTCATCCTCGCTCTCTGTCAGAGCTGCAGGCATGCAAACAGCCAAGAGCATCACTCACAGTCCTGACAGCAACTCTCATTGTTTCACTGCGTTAATAATCACCTGGAGGAATGTGGAGGCGGTAGAGGAACCTTATTTTCTCATTCAGCTCCTCACAGTACAGTGTGTCTGGAACAAAAGGAAAACGTCAGCAAGGCGGTTTTGTCTTGCAGGAATCAGCCGTAGAGCCGATGCGCTCGCTGCCGCCCACCCAGCCAGCTGGCGAACTCCTTGAAGGTGACCAGGTTGTCCCGGTCCAGGGCCAGCAGGGTGAAGGTGCGGTTGGAGAGCGTGTCCGTGTGCTGGCTGGACCCGGACGGCCACGGCGCCAGCAGCCCGTAGAGGCTTTTGAACTGCGGCCGGTCCAGCCGATACTGCCGCTCCACGAAAGAGTGACCGGAGTCGCCTTGCTGCCAGGCCGCGGCTTCTGCCGCCGCGGCGGAGCTGCTGTCGCCCCAGTACAGAGTGATAAAGTGCTCCGTCTGCAGGGCGGAGGAGAGGAGATGACTCTTTTTATTCAGAAAAGATCCAAAGACATTTTAACCCGAGGAGGAACGAGAGAGCACCTTAAAGAGGTCGTACAGGTCGGACAGATTCTCAGGAGAGATGGAGACGTCCGGAGACACCAGGCGCAGCTGCACGGCGACACACACGGCACAACGGATGTTGCAGACGGATACGAAGATGTGTTTATGTTCACTCAAAAGAAAAGAACGTCAGCTCACAGTGTTTTCCTTGATGGT